CGCCGCACAGCCATTGCGGAGATTGCGGCATCCGCATTTATTCCATCACATGGCATGGGCTGGGACTCGACGCTTTGCTTGACTTGGATCGACTTGGGATGGTGTCAAGTAAGAGGAACACAATCAGAGCCTGTTTTGGTCGCAGGAAAGGGAGGGGGGGGAGACACGGGAAACACCAAGCGAGCGGCTTTTTCTTCTGACTCCCGAGGAGTCGGTTGGATGGGATGGGATGGGCAGGGCGTATAGTCAAGAGAAGGAGGAGGGAATGGGGGTGCAGGTTCACAAGTCGTGTTCCCAAGTTCAGGGCAGACGATACAAGAGACAAGACAAGGCATGGGCGAGGAGACGAGCACGAATGTGGTGAGCAATGACAAACAGGAACAAGGCCCCAAGAGCCAAGACCTGACCGTTAAAGGCAATATCAGCAACTACTCTTACGGAGCACTAGACGAACGACTCGACGAGCAGAGCCGACGGGCGACGTGCGAAGAAGGATGGAGGTTGGACGGCGGTTGTATCTACGGCGCCAGGAGGCGGTGAAATGGCACTGAGAATCCAACGTGCCGAGCGTACTGTGGCCGACGAGTCTGACAGCCTACGGGAACACGGAAATCTCATGCCTCATGCGCAAGACTTTTTTTTGGCTCCGGCGCGGCTAAGCCAGGCCGGGCTGTTTTGAAGTGAGCAGGGCCAGCGAGCAGAAGAGAGGTGTCCAAATCAAGAGCGAGAGGCGTGTCACAGAAACAACGTTGCGTGCGGCCGCACCAAGGACCAAGGGGGAGCAAGGCACCGCCAGGAGGAGGCTCGGTTGCGCTTTGGAGGAGACGATGATGGGGTGGACGAGGGGGTGGTTGGTTGTCTAGCTAGGGAGGGAGGGCGTTTAGAACGGGAAAAGGAAAAATAAAATAAAAATAAAAATGGGAGCAGCAGAATTGAAAGAGAGCGGCTATGGTAGGTAAACAACGGGCCTTGTTGAAAAGGTTAATGAAAGGAGGGAAAAGGGTGCAAGTATTGAGGGTGATAAATCGCTCATAGAAAGGGTTGGAGGCGTTGATGCGAAATTACACGTTGGTGAAGTCTTGAGAGTTGGATATCCAAGTATCTCTTGGCGCAAGAGAGGCTCTCAAAGGACTTTGCCAGTGACAACCAATCAAGGTTTTGGCGCATCCTGCCCCGTGCCCGCGGCACTACGCTCGATACCCGTCCTCTACCTTGCCTTGGGTCCTTGGTCCCTTGGTCCTTTGGTTTATTTACCTAGCCCTTCCTGGATCTGTACTATAGACAGTTACACTACGGAGACGGAGTTGGTATGGATACCTACCACTGACCACTGACCAGCGATGGTTGACCAGGTTGGCGATGCTGACCACTTATTACTCGGCTTGGCTTTGGTGCGGGTTGTGGAGAGGATGTGTGGAGGAGGAGGAAGAGGGCTCCCGCGCCCATGTGCGTCCTGGTCCATGATCCATCCTCTGATCTTGTTCTTGTTTCTGTTCTTGTCTCTTGACCTCCCTCGGCCTCCATCATCTCTCCCGAGTCCCAGAGTCATGAGTAGTCCATGACAAGACTCACTGAGACACACAGGAAAGGTCCCCTTACCCTCCAAATGCTCCCCTACCCACCCCTTCAAGAGTCCACGTTCACGCCCCTCCCTTCCCTTGCCCGCAGAACCCGTTACCGTCTGCCCTCCTCTACAGCCCTGCATCTAGCTTTTGCACTCATCTCACTGGCTGAACCATCGATCCATCCGTCCATTCGAGATCCTCTCAGCTAGCTTACCGTGTAGCTTGAATCCAGCTTTGCTGCCCAGTCGGCAGAGTAAGTAAGTAATAACTCGGTAAGATTGAAGGCAGTGAAGCAACAAAGCAAGTTGTGCCCGCTAAGAGTTTCCATCCCTGATGACTGGCTTCCTGCTGCCGGTGGCTTACAGGTCTTAGCTTGAGGATATGCAAGAGACACTGCTGCAGTGCCGCTGCAAAGTAGTTGAAAGTTGAGGCGATCAGAGAGGAGAACTGGATGGAGGAGGGGAGACTCGAGAGCTTGCTGGCGCTGGCACTGCCACAATCCATCAGTCCCCTTCTGGTGCAAGTGCTCGACATGCTTCTTCTTTCACCGTTTCTCCAACAACAACACCATTCCCATCACCAGCAACACTCACCCACCCACCACCACGGGGGACCGGCCGAACAGGCACGGCGCAGGAGCTGACCGCCGCTGCAATGTGAGTTGTGAGGTGTGGAGAAAACAGTGGCCATGTCTCGGTTTGCTGCAAGCAGTTAGCGGTGCCCGCGTCCGGGATGCCCACATTCAGAGAGCTGCTGGCTCAGGGCTGGCGGGCCTGGCTGGCCTGGCTGCATCCTCTTTTCGTCTCTGAGCTTGCAGATGCGCGCCCAGGTCGCTGCATTCAAAGTGCCATCCATGATCGCAACATTCCAATGCGACAGTCGTTACACAAGAAAGCTGGGGGGAAGCTAAGACGAGACGCATGCCGAATCCAGTCCTCACAGATTACCCCCAAATTTTGTCCGCTCAGCTTCAACATCCCGCGCCGCGTCATTTGCCCAATCGGAGAGTATTCAGGAGCCAGCTCCAGTGCAGCTCGAGCTAGCTATCCTCATGTTTCTCTCTCGTCATTCTTCGTTGTGCGCCTTTTTCTGTTCATTCCGGGATACGGATACTCATCTGCTCTTCACGAACTCATCATTGTGCGACTCCACAGCCCCCCCGGGAACACACTCCAAATCCAACCCGGCCCTTTCGCCGGCGCCCATGCCGGTCATCAATCTTACATTTTCAGGAACTTTCAAGTCGGCATGTACCGACTTTGGGGGAAGTTATTTGGAGAAGCAGAGCCAACCTAACTCAGTGAGGTGTCCAAGGCGATAGCCAACTCTTAGAGGCTGCGGCGGCCACCACGCTTTGCCCTCCAGCCCCCATGATCCGTCGGTGCTTGTTTATTGCGCTCTCCCACAGTAAAGAAGCGGTGATGCCGCATCGCATCGTCAAACAAGCTCATTCCGCGTCTTCGGCGGTCTGTAAGTCTGCCGCTTGTTAAATCAGCCTGGCTTGCCGCCTACCTACATACATTCCCATGTGCCGACTCCTTTGTTGTTTAGTTCAATGCCTGATTCTGTTCTTGCTCTTTCTACCATAAGCCAGCTCTCGTGCCGCGACTTGAAGAGCGAAGCAGAGACGTACTGAGTATCCGTGCTGCGTATGTACTGAATTACATGTCTAGATGGCAAATCAGTGTGTACGTACTTTCACTGCCACTCGCCTGCGATTTCCAAGCCCTCTATTGTTCATCTACCGTAAAGCGGTGCTTGCTGCCTTTGCACCTCAGTCATTCAAAGAAAGGCGAAAACGAGAGAGATCCAAAACGGCCGCTCAAGATACACCCAAATCTGGTCTCTGACCGGCGATCGACCACGAAGAGCCTCCAATCAATACAAATCACCGCCGCGCCCTACTCCGTCCTGCGTATGTGCCAGTAGTGATTGCCGACTTTAGGGCCTGGGGCTGTGCCCGTTCATCAGTGTAATAACTGCACTGGGCAGACAAAAAAAAAAAAAAAAAACCTGTCAAGCCGAAGTCAGGCTTGCCCCGTTGCTCTCACGCTCACTCTCACTTTCACTTTCACTCTCATTCTGCTGCCCAGGTGTGTGTACTGGTCGGCGCCGAAACCCTGGAAGGAAGGGGAAAGAATCTAGCTACTACGTACGGATCATAGAGCACTCGTGCTGCTCCCTCCTCGGCCGCGCTTAATTTGGATGGGCGGTCTTTTTTCTCGCGCTGTTAATTTGGCTTCGTTTGACGTTGACCACAATCAACGGCATTTCCCTCAGACGGTGAACCCCCCCCACAGTGAGGTGTAAGAGTGAGAGTGAGTGATAAAACCCGCTGGACTAAGGTAGTGTCGATCCCATCACGCGCGCCCCCCTCCAAAAACTGGTCTTCACTGCAAGATAGTGCCTTCTGCGAGAGGAAAAAAAAAAAAGTCCAAGGCCGGTAGACCCAGTCCCGTAGGCGGCCTCCAGCTTCTCAACCATGGCTCATCCCAGTTCTTCTTCATCGTCGCGCCCGCGCCCGTTGGTTTGACTGATGGGGATGGTCTCCACGTCCCACGAGCACCAGCACCAGCGGCGGCGGCACGAAGCACATGCCCCGGACACAAAATCCCTCTTACTAAACCCCCTTCAGCAACCAGCTACCGATCCCGGGAGCTCCATCCTCCATTCTGTGTGCCAGAGCCTAGAGGATCCCCCATCAGAAATGCACAGAGCCCGGGCAAACCCAGAGGAAACAGCAGCAGGGCCTGGCAAGAGAACCCTGAGCAGACCCTCGGCAGCTCGCGTGAGTGAGAGGGGGGACGGACCCGACAGAACAGAGCAGGACAAGAACCCTGGGATGCCGATGCCCAGCAAACCCAGCCACGAGAATGAGCCATCAGCAACCCCCAAACCGGTCAAGACATGCGCCTACATACACAGACGTTCGGATACAGATGTAGAACGCCGTACTGAAGCAGACATACATAAAGTATACTTACGTACTCACAGACAGCGCTATATAACAAACCCCGAGGCGCAGCAGCTTCACAGTAAAGAAACTGGCTTGGGCCTGGCCTGGCCGTCTCTCTCTTTTCCTTTCCTTTCTTGTTCTTAGTCAGTCCGGCCGCTGGTTTCTGCATCAGCAGCAGCGTAATGGATCCCCGATCCATCCCCCTCCCATCCAGTCGTGGGCCTTTCCCCCCTCTCTTCCGGATGGAGAGACGAGAGGATATGGGGTAAAGGGTACGGCACTGCACTGCATTTGACCACCACACACCGCAGAAACGCCCGCACGCACTCGCTCCGCTCCCAGTTTCTCCTTTGATGACTGGCCACTATTCACTCACTCACTGGAGACTGACTGGACTGGACTGGTACTGGTATCGGTACAGGTGTATGATCTTTATTTTTATTTTTTTACTTCCCAAAATTTCTTTTGTTCCTGTTTCTGTCCGTGTCTGTCTCGGGGAGCTAACGGGGAGGCTACCGAAGACTCTGGCTCCGCGCCACGGGCCACAGTCAATGCTCTCTCTTCTCTTGCTGCCGCTTTGCTTTGTAGTGTAGGTAGGTAATTACTTTTGCTGCCGCTTTGCTTTGTAGTGTAGGTAGGTAATTACTTGGAATTAGACACTTCATCAGTCAGTCAGTCGCATGGACATGGGCTCGAGTGAGGCGTAGCATCATCCATCATCCATTGACAATTCTCCAATATGGTCAGCTCGGCTCGCTCCAGACCGAGTTGACCTACTTTACCTTGCAAGTAAGTTACTTACAGCTGCTCCTTGGAGCAAAGGAACCCAAGCTGAATCAAGCACAAGCACGTACACGCACACGCACTTGCACTCGCGCGTACGCAACCTCGCCCTCTTCGCCATCAACTTTTTCAACGCGAAAGAAGCAGCACGAAGCAGCACCCAAAAACTCAAATCCAGAACGGAAGAAAGAAAACTATTCCCCTGCATCACACAGTTAGTTAGTCAGTGGCGCTGCAACTTACTACAACACGCATCGCATGGCAGCCCATTTATCCCATCTCCTTTCCCAGATGATTCCTAGGACCTGGTAGATGGCCTCGTGCACAACACCGACACCGACACCGACACACGCACACACACAATACCTTACCCGGCCCACCCCATCCATCATCCATCCTCCCGTTCCCGTCTACCGTCTCCCATCGTGTCCAAGTATCCGAAAATTCCCCATTACTTTTTTGACTTTCATCGCGCCTTTTTCGTTGATTTGGTATCCGGCTTTTTTGGTCTCTCGTCGGCCCCCTCGAAATTCTCCCCATCTTCCTCTTTTTTTTCTGTCTCCTCCTCTTGGCCCGCCTTCGCACCGTCGAATGACGTCGTTGGTCAAAGGGCCGACTCCGCTGCCGCTGCGAGCTGCGTGCTGCGCCTCACTCGACCTCGAACCCCGACTTTTCTGTGGTGCCTTTTTCGAGTAAATTTTCGCCCTCCACGACTCGACCGACTTCCTTTTGGCTGCCCTGCTGCTTGCTGCTGCAGGTGATACCTGGTAGTCAGTAGGTCAGTCAGGGTCACCGTACCTTTGTACTATACCTTTGTACTAGCAGCCAGCCCAGTCAGTCGTCCTTGACCGTCAAGACTCTTCCTGCGTCTGCATCCCGTCTGTTTCCATTTGCTGCCCGCCGTTGCCACCCGACCCCATCGAATTTCTGTCGATTAGTCCTGTTCCCTGCCCACCACCATTGCACACTGCCCACTGCCCACCCCCTCTCTGTGCGACACTCTCACCCAAAGTGTCTGTTCGTCTCTCCAGTTGTGCGGTTGCGTTTGTATAGGCAAATTCCCTTTTTTGCAGCAAACATCAAAATCGCACAACACCACAACAGCAAACATGGTCGTCGGTTTGCTCAGCATCCCGCGGGAGATTCGCGACTTGATCCTCGGCGAATGCATCTTCCTTTCCGACCGCCAACCGCCGCCCAATCCCTCAGTCAGCCAGGACCGCAAGAGGCGCGAGTACAAGGGCAAAGGTTTTTTCGATGGCCACGACATTTGGGTTGAGAAGAAGGTTCGCTCCCCGCCTTCCGGCTCCCCCAACACCAACATCTTTCTCGTCAATCGACAGATACACGCCGAAGCCAAGGCGCTGCTTGCGACAAGGGGGACGCATTGCCGTCTCGATGTCATGTATGTCAAAGAATGTGGCTTGTGGCCGACTTGGCTCGCGGTGCCAAGAGCGACCCGCCATGCCGACAGCGTCCGAGTCCAATTTCGAATTTTCGACCCCCCCTCCGATGTCAACCCGGACTGGAAGAACGAGGAACAGTTTCGAGGCGGTAGCGGCGGTCCGCCCTTCATCGTCTGGAATTTCTACGCCATGCTGTCTGGTTATCTGCAGTATGGCCCGACTGCCTTCAGTAGTATCGTCGCCGACCCGGCAAAATTCACCATCAAGAACCTCGTGCTCGACGTTCTGCCACCGCCCCCTGGCCAGAAGCACGATCGGCTCGTCTCCGGCGGTGCACCGCGGCCGCCCGCTCATGACATGTTTGAAAGGTTCACCACCATGGTCATGGACGCGGAAAAGCGAGAGAGTCGAGGGATCACTTGGCCCCGTCCGCCACAAGGCAAGGAGCACCTCATCCCGGCCGAGAAGCTGGCTTTCTTCATGTGCTGCCAGATCGGAGGTCTCCTGTCCATGTATCGTGATTGGGCCGACTTCGGCGCCGCCCTGTACGAAGGCATCGGGACCATTCAGATCCGCGTCAACGGCGAACTCAGACGCCATTTCGACCTGGACGAGATGCTCGCCAGGCTACCCATCCAGCCGATCGCGGCGTGGAACGAGAAGGAACAGCAAAAGAGACAGAAGCGCTTCGACGACTGGAAAGCCCAAGCGATAACAACGAGACAAGGTTGGAAGAAATGAGGGAAAAAAGACAACTTGGAATGATGACATGAACTGCCTTTTCTTTTTTTTCTTTTGCTTTGGCCGTACTGGCCACTAGAGGGGAGACTCCCTCTTTTGCATTGGGCAGCGATACCACCGGATAGAGGGCTTCCTTTTGGGATACGTCTTTTTTGCTTTGGAGCATGGTGCAAGGTGCATGGTGCATGGTACAACCAGGCCGGCGGTGGTCGATCTCGGAGGGTCGGGAGAGAGGCGTTCGGCACGGTACCGAACGCCGAGAATGGAGCCGGAGTCGGAGGTGAAAGCCGGTCAAGAAATGTTGGTCCTGTTTTTTTTTTTTTTCTACCGAGATAGGCCTTCTACTGCAGTTCGGAGCCGAGCAATGTCAGCGTGGCTTGCCTTGCAGCATCCGCCCACAACAATCTGTTTCCACAATCCTCGAGATTCGGCGTTAGAGACCACTTGTGAGAGTTGGGCTTCCCATGAAGTGGTAGGGTGTTGTGATCCTTGGGGAAGCTCCCACTTTTGGGTCGTCGTGTTGTAGACTTCCCCGTTAGTGCCATCCGGATAGAGGATAAGTGCCGGAGCGGCGTCGACGGCGCCCTCGTGGACGAGTTCCTTGACAGCGGATTCATAGCTCTGGATGAGAGACTCCAACTTCCACACCTTGGTGCAGTTGATGCCGATACCCCAGGGATGGCTCGTGGCAACATCACGGCTGAGCATGGCCGTCACAGCCTCCTTGATGGAAGATCCATCCGGCAGCAGGCCGTCCTCTCTCGGGAAAAGCGTCGCGATCCAGAAAGGAATGGGGGTCTCAGAGGCCAAGACTTTGGTCTTATCCAGGGCCTGCCTCACGGCCTTGATCTCATCTGTGCGCGGGATCGTCTCAATGGCGACATAACTGACGGGGGAAGAGAAGGCGGCGGCAGATTGGAACAGCTGGAGCCGCTCGGCATGCCAGTCACGGAGCTTCTCGAGAGTATCGTGGTCGGCGTCATAAGCGCCGCTGTACTCTTGGCCAGGGATCATGCAAGCTCCATAGGGACCGATGCTGAGAGCTGTCTTGCTTCCTTGGGAACGTCCCGCCTCATCGGCAATGCGAATGGCGTCCTGGATGAAGTTGCCAATGTTGGCTTTGTCGATACCGTTGGGGAATTGGGCAGTGCGGGTGTTGGCAAAGCCGTGGATGGATAACTGGTAGGTGGCAGTGAGGATGATGTCAACGGGTACATCTCCAAAGTCTTTCTGGCAGGCGAGCAGGGTGTCCTGACCATCGACGAGAAGATGGGTAGACCAGAGAGGCGTGGTAGCTGACTCGAACTTGATGCCGTACTTGTCTTCCAAGGAAGTGCCGAGGCCACCATCGAGGATGAGGACCTTGGATTGCTGGGAAGAAGAAGAAGAGGCAGCCATAGTTGGTATGGGTGAAGTGAAGCGAAGCGTGTACTTTGAGGGTGTAGTTCCAGGAAGGGCGAAGTGCGCAAAACAAGGTTCGGACCGGAAAGGGAAATCTGACAGACAGGTAGACGGGCTACCTGATCTCAGATAGAATACCTAAGATGAGATTAGGTTAAAGGTGAGACTGAATCCGGGGCCGGCGTGATCAAGACGAGAACGAGCACAAGAGAAAGAGAGAAAAAAGAGGTGAACGCGCGGCGGGACGTTGCAAGTCTTGTCGCTTGGAGGGATGAGTATGTGTGTGTGTGTGTGTGTGTCCGAGTAAGTCGGGAATGGGGGGGAAACAAGAAAGTCTTGGGGTCTTGGGTCCTTGGGGCGAAAGCGAGTCGGGGACTCGTTGGTCTTGGGGGTCTTTGGGGCGGGATGAGGAAAGGCGAGGCCAGCGGAGACGCGGGCAAGGCGCGGGTGGTGACTGGGACAATGGAGGAGGAGGAGGGTCCGAGGGGATCCACACCTGGAGAAAAATTTGGGAAAGCATTACGACGACTTCTGGCTGACTAACACACCTAATTCCAGCTGCCAAGAGCCACCGGCAGCAACTTCCGTGTATTTTTACTCACCCTTACCATTCCTGCCCTTTCTTCCTTTCGTGCCTCCCTCAATAATCTCGTCCCTTCCCTTGCTTCATCCAGTGCCCCAAGCATCCCGTGATGTGGTACGTCACTGCAGTTTTACGGCAAGAGCCCACGCACAACTTCAAGAAGGTACGAAATACCCCTCTTGCCGCAATGGAATTGAGGTGGTCACAAGAGAACAAATGGAAGCATCGTGACTGGCAAGCGCGCCTGCCGAATGCCAAGACGGGATGGGACTTGCTCGGTTTAGCATACCCGTATCTCATACGTACTCCGTACTCCGTATTCCTCCTACCTTAACCAGGGCAGGTACCTCAATCTCGCTTCCAGATTCCGTCACAAACCGGATGACACCGCAAAACGGCCGTCCTCCAATTCAATCCAATCAGCATTCGCCTGATTCATTCAGAGGTTGAGACGCGCAACATGAGATCATGTCCAACCGTGAAGCCCATACGTTAGTAAAAGTACGGAGTACGGATGCTGCCATGGACGTAAGGTTCTGTCATCCCATCTCATCCGCCCTCAGAGTATGGGGAAGATCTTACTTCAGATGCGCTAGGATTCACGCCGTGTAATTGATGCTGTCGGTCTAACTCATTCTTGCCCGATCCAAACCTCTCCATCCCACCGGCACATTCTGTCTCCCAACGACCCTTTGTGTATTGGAGTTTTCATAGTATTTGTATAGACATGTGAATTCTCACTTCCGACGTCATGTTTTGACGATTTTTGTGTGTGATACCACGTCAACATGCATATGAATTACACCTGCCCTGCTAACTGTTTTATTTGAAAGAAAATCAGTAGCAACTGAGGGATATTACCAGGCCAAGACTATCCCCACTTGATCAACCATCATTCTTTCAAAAAGACTCAAGAATCCCAAGAAGCCCAATAATACTTTTCACTGCGTTCATCACAACGGCACCATTCCAAGTTGCAACCCCAGAGACTGGCCGGCGCAAGTTACAGTTTCCTAGCTCCCGCTCCTGTCCTGGCGGTTGGCAGGGGTCCTCCGAGCCCTCGCTAGCCGATTTCCGAGCGGAATGGGGCTGCTTTTTTGGGCTGATGCAACGTCATCTAACTTTAATTGGTGACGAATCTGAAGAACCCCGCCATCGCCATCTTTCCCCGCAGCATGGCGATCTCACAGACAAGCTTTCTGGATCATGTACTTCGTATCCGTACGAATACAGATAATGGTGGGGGTTTTTCTTTTCTAGATAGCGTTGTAACTTAACATTCAGTGGTAGATCAAAAGATGTTTCTTGAGGAAAACTCCCAGAAAAGATGGATGCTTCTCACTTACACCGGCTCCCTGAGCTCGGTATCGGTTAATTATCCCCACAAGCACATGTCCCAAGCTGCATGCATCCATCACGACACTAGTGTGGTGCTGAATGCTAACGAACATCTTGGCTCCATCAACTTAAACCCGCGCTCAAGTCCCGGCACCCCGGAAGATGGGAAACACAGTCCAACGGACCTTGGCGGGCCCACGGTCAATTCACTCGGCGTCCGGCACTCCCCCGCCGAGCCGGAAGCTAATTGAAACGGAGCCTGTCAACGGAAGGGCGCGCTGGGCGTTGGTGGGGCACACTGACTTTTGACATCCATTGCTGACCTCGCTTTTCGCTTCTAACACCGATATATCTTCTAGGCTCATCACATGGTCTTATCTTAAAGAGAGCACAATCATGTTGGACGGCAAACCATCGATTCTTCACATTGGTCACAAAAGGCTCAATCCAAGCCAATACCCGCCGCCATGTCAACAACCACCACAACAGCAACGGCATCAGCCTCAGCCTCCACCTCAGGCATAGAACTCCATCCCCTCCCGGCCAACATATCCCAAAAGCCCTCCCCCTTCACATCCACATCCCGAAACGTCGACGACACCACAGATCCAATCCTCCAAGCTTCCCGCGAAGCAGACTCCACCGTCCCCGAAGGCGGCTACGGCTGGGTTGTCGTGGGCGGCTGCTTCGTCGTCGCCTGGTGGATCATCGGCACATCCTACTCGTGGGGCGTCATCCAGGGCGCCCTCATCGAAGATGGTCTCGGCACGCCCGCCGTGCTCTCGTTCGTCGGGTCCCTGGCCGCGGCGCTCATCTCGGCGTTGGCTATTGTCAACTCGCGCGTCATGAGGCGGATCGGGCCGAGGAAGACGGGGTTATTGGGGATTTCGCTGTTGGGGGTTAGTGAATTGCTGAGTAGCTTTGCGGTCAAGAATGTGGGCGCCATGTTTGCTACCAGTGGTGTCATCATGGGGTTGGGAATGAGGTACGTCGTCCCTTCGTGGAGCTTCTTTACGAATCTTTCATGCTAACAAATTGTCAAGTTTATGTTTCACGGTGAGCCGAGCCCCGCAAACTAGCCCAATGTTTTAAACTTTGTTGCTGACGAGATCATCCAGATCGTCTCTGTGGTCCCGGCACAGTACTTCAGCCGCAAGCGCGGCCTCGCCAACGGCATCGTCTTCGCCGGCGGTGGCCTCGGTGGCGCCGTAAACAGCTTCGCCCTCGACGCCCTCCTCAATCATCTCGGATCCGCGTGGGCCTACCGCGTCCTGGCCCTTGTCACCCTGGCCACGGGACTCCCAGCAGCATGGCTCATCAAAGAGCGTGTTCCCGTCCGTAGTACTGGGTTCGTTGAGTGGTAGGAAGCCCTCTTTTCCCGTTCTCGCCATGATCTCCAACATGGAAAACTATAGCAGCCACTGACACAGAAATGCAGGCGCCTCTTCAAATCCTTAACCTTCGTCCTCGTCTTCCTAGCCGGCGCAGTCGGAACCTTCCCCCTCTTCGTCCCGCCCTTCTTCCTCCCACTCTACTCCAAATCCATCGGCCTCTCCTCTTCCACGGGCGCCGGCCTGGTAGCGGGGTTCAACTTCTCTTCCGCCATCGGCCGTATCTGCTGCGGTGCCTTTTGCGACGCATTTGGCGCGCTCAACGTGCTCTTCGTCTCCCTGTTCCTGTCTGCGGTTAGTATCCTGGCCATCTGGCCCGTCTCGACGTCGCTTGGTCCCATGGTTGCCTTTGTCATTATCAATGGCGTCTCGAACGGTGGTTTCTTCTCAACTATGCCTACGGTGGTCGGGAACACGTTTGGATCCGCTAGGGTCTCTGTCGCTATGAGTATGATTGTGACTGGATGGGCTGGCGGCTATCTCATGGTGAGTTGCGCGATTCCAACGGGATCTTTCCTTGTCCAACAACAATATACTGACAAGGTCGATTAGGGCTCGCCAATTGCGGGATATCTTCTGGAGGCCTACGGTGGCGCCGAGGGAGGTCTTCAAGCGTACCGTCCAGCCATGTTCTACGCTGGCTCTCTGTCATTGGCGGCGGCTGGCCTAGTCGCCATGGTCAGGTTCCGCATCAACAGCAGCATCTTGGCAAAGATCTGAGAGTGACATGAATGGCAATGTCGCTGTTGCATAGCACACTGTACCAATATTGTAGTAACACGATGGAAAGCATGTTTCCAGGTTCATCACCAGTGACCTCCTTCCAGTCCAGCCGTTGACCTAAAGTCCGGCCGGATGAACGGTACTCGTAGACACCGTAGACCGGCCGGCCGGCGAGTGATGCAAAGGGGCGGTGGATGTGACATCAGCCTCTGGAGTCTCGTATTCATCGGACCCCTGGATTCACGCAAAGACACCAGATTCGCAGCAGGCACCCGTGAAAACGCACTGGTATCTCTTCATCTCGCCATTCGTCCAAACTTATCTCCCCCGCACGATCCACCTCAGACAGGGCGAGAAACATCGGCCCCGGCGCAGCTGCTGCCTACGCGGCCCCACTTGGCGCCTTCAGCCCGCCGATAGCCCCGGGCGGGGATCTCCCGTGTCAAGATACAACAGCAACAGCTTCCCAAAGTCCATCCTCAACAGGCAACGTCCCTGACAGACATGATCTAAACGTTCAAAGATAGCAGACATTCTCGTTCGCCTTACCCAGAACCCAGTTACCCTAATTACTTGGCATCAATAGCCCCCATCTGAGTCAGACCGACACGACTCTAGTGTAACTCTTGTGCTCCTCCTAGACTCGGCGGCTGCTTGCGGTGATACCTGGTCCCCCGATTTCCCCTCCTTGCACGTGTATTCGCGCCTCCTTCGCGACGCCATTCCAAGACGGAACTTTCCAATACCCGTGAACTAGCTCACGCGATAACGTGTTTACCAAAGGGCTATTGTCTACAAAATACCCCGCCAACCTCCCCTCTTCTCCCCTCATCCTCTTCCACTATCACTGACCTCACAATTCATCTAAACATCCAAATCCGACAATCTTGTCTCTCTCATACCTCAAAGACACATACTGCGTACTTGTTCACTACATCCAACATGTCCATCGATCACGTCGGCCTCTTCGTCCCCGCCTCAATCTACAAGGAGACGGTAGACTGGTACCTCGCTGCCCTGGCCCCCCTCGGCTTCAAGAAGTTCGTCGAACCAAACGAGTACGCCTGCGGCCTCGGCGTGCAGCGGCCCGATTTCTGGATCGCCTGTCACCAGGTCGACAAGGCGAACATCCCGCTCCACATTGGCTTCAAGGCGGATAGTAAGTACTTCATCATGTATCTGGTGCCTGGGAGTTGGTAATGCTGTAGAAGTTTTTGACTAATAACATACCTTCAACATAGACCGCAAAGTGATTGACGAGTTTCATAAGGCTGCTCTTATGGCAGGAGGCAAGGATAATGGGGCGCCTGGGTTGCGGCCGCAGTATCATCCTGATTACTATGGCGCGTTTGTGATTGATCCATCTGGGAACAATGTCGAGGTTGTCTGCCACATGCCGGAAGTGACAGAGTAAAAGATCGAGGATGAGGTACTTGGCGTTTGGTTTCACCGCGGAGTATGGCTGGAATGGTCCATGGGAGTATCGTTCGCGATAAGAAGCTAGTTGTCGTTCAGCTTGCTGTAATCTACTACTGAGCTTCGAAGAAATAGTACAGTCGTTCTTCCTTCCATGAGACTTGGCGGGTTACATTAAGCCACAAGAGCTTGGAGAGGGCTAAAATTGCAGTGCTCACTCATCCACTCATTGCGCACAAAAGCAATCTTTCGAATTCGTTCCACAATCTAGGTAACTGCAATGCATCCTTAACCCATCATGAATGGCTAGGCCTATGGCTCAATATCTAAATCATCTACCCGTTCCCCCTTCCGTCCTTCCACTGGCACAAACCTTGTTACACATCTTCTGGCGTCGCTTTCATTACGCAGCCAAGCAGGACATCACAGCCAAGGAAAGTCAGTCCTGGTTTACAATGTTTATTAGAATTGATGGAATCACGCCATCCGATTTCTTTTCAACTCAACTCACGATCGGCTTGATGGCGTAAGTCACATTAACACTACTCCACGTAAAGCCGAAGGCATGAGCAGCCGCAAGTACATTCTTAATGATATAGCTCTTCTAGCTAAGCAAAGCTGTCGATGAGCCACAACTACACGATATATTGGCCTATCTCATACCTTTATCTCGGCACCCATGAGATCTCAAAGGCACATGATGGTCAACATCCCCTGCCAAGTCATCGCCTTTCAATCCCGGGTGACAATTTCACCGAATCACTTTAACTAGGAAAGAAAAGGTCTTGAGCCACCTGAGTTCTCTCTCAGGGTGACTTGTCTTCGTCTTAGCTCGACGTTCTAGCCTCCATCTAATTGAGGCATCGCAGACTACCTAGGCACACACAGGATGATACGACGGCCCAGTTTAAAACCATTCTACGGGATGAGGAGTCTATCAAGACAACGCAAGTTTCCTGAACGTCAGCCACTACCTCTGTCCAGCCACCGTTCAGACTGTGGCAAACTTGACCGGGATCACGCGTTCACTGCATTTCTAACTCAACCCGTATGGATAACCCCACGTCTGTCGCGCATAGCCTTCAAGCAACACAGGAATCCTAGGCCTTTCCAAGTTGTCTGCTCTAGCATCAGCCCGTTCCTATCCTTGCTCAACTTTAGGCCGACTCGACTCTCACATGCTCATCTCAAATCAATCTAAGAATTCGATCTGACCAGCTTGCAATTCAATTTCTCGTACTCAGGACATTTCATTATGCTCGCCATCTATGTCAGTCTCGGAACACCAAACGCCTTGTCCCAAGTATGCCCGCGCAAAGTCTAGAACGTAACGTAGCGTGTAGTGTAGCCTAGTCCAACCCCTGCCCGTTCATCAAAGAACTCATCTTCCGTCTTTCGTCTGTCTGGTTGCCCATGTACAGCTCGCGCGAATTCCACCACTCGTAATAAGATCAACGTATGAAGTCGCCTTCAAATGCGCTCCACCAGAACTTGCAATAGAATACCGCCCACGAAAACTCCATACAGACCCGTTCTATCCGGGTATTTCAAGGGAAAAACCTGATCCATTCTCCTTCGTCATCGGTCCATTGGTCGCTCGCTAACGTACCAAACACGCCCTGGAACGAAACGGTGCGCACCGTTCGCCCCAGAATTGTAATCTGCACCGAGCCTCTGGTGCCCAGTCCGATGAGTAGATGTCCAACATCCCTCCCAAGCTCCGAGGTGCCAACGAGCCAAACGTATAAAAGTTGATTCTACTAGGATGCGATGGTAGTAAAGATACCAGCAAGCCTTAGTAGACCACTTTAACCCCAAATCAGCGTAATTTGGGGTATCAATCTCATAGTATTGCAATATTGCAAATTTGCTTAGGAATCACCACCGGTGACAGCAGCAGGGCGTGATCGCTGTGCCACCACTTCCCGCGCGTAGAACTCGACCAGCATGGTCGCGTACGCCTCAAGATCTTCGACGGGAACCGCCAGGCGGAAATCGTTCAATAGGAGGAACTGAAGCTCGAGATGGTTGAGTTCGGCTAACGGAAGACCACCGACCTAAGACATGAGAATCAGCACTGGGCAAGACAAATCGGTCTACTTGGACTATTTACATACCTTGGCGTATCTGGAGTTGGTGTAAAATACGTCTGAGAAGAACTTGCTCGCGCAAGTTACGCCCGCAATGACCAGTCTATGGATATTGAAGCTGTCGACAACAAAGTACGTAGCCGGGGGCGCGCCAGGAGGTGTCGGCTGAGGCACAATGCTGCCGGTACTCTCGCTCGCCTTGGTGTTCTGTTCGTCCGCATCGTCGTCGTCGGCAAGATCCGAGTCGGTTTCGTCATCTTCGTCACGCATTTCGACGTCGGCCGACTGTGCCTTTGGAGTTGACTGCGAAGTGGACACCCTCCGCGCCTCCTCGTGCTTGACCACCATCTCGTTGACTCGCTCCGTCATGCGGTCAAAGTAGACTAGCAAACTCAGAAAGACCTCATAGGTGGTCGGGCAGTATTTGTGAATGCGGGACAGGTAGCTCAGAATTGTGATAGCAGGGATGTTCTTGCCGTGAAAAGCAAGCACAGACGTGCTCAACGGGCTCATTTGCGAGCCGTTGCCTGACTCGTTGTTCTGGCTCGCCTGCTGCTGATGCGCAACGTTGCGCTGCATGGCATCATGCTGCAGATCGTTGGTGGTGGTGATCTTGGTGAGAAGGGCAGCGACCATTTCAATAATGTCGCCAATGGGCATCGCACTGATCTCGTACTTCATCGCCTGCAGCGGCGGATCGTTCAGTATCCCCGGCCCATTGCCCGATAATAGGTCGGCCTTAGCGAGACTCTGGATATGGGCCAAGTCGCGAATGTGAATTGTCTGGCCTTGAGGTTGCTGTACGGGAGATGAGGTATCGGAGAGGGGGTATGAGTTTGTGGCGCCGGCAACACCATTTCCATCAGACGCGGGCGAAGGTTGCTGTTGTTGCGGCTCTTGACTAGGGGCGGCATGAGCCTGTTCAGAGGCGGCTACGGAACCAGCATGGCCGGCGTCGCGAGAATCGGTTGCCATGTATGCGGGGCTATCGGCATGCTGGGGCCTGGCACCTGTTGGCGATGAAGATGATGGAGGCGAGGGGAAGCGAGATGCACCTGCGCTAGGGGGCGCGGGCTTCTCGACCGAGTCCTGTTCGGGGCGCTTTTGACGCGTGGACGGGGTGCTCGTAGAATGTTGGTATCTCGGGCTCGCAGGCGCGTGGTGTGCAGGGACGTCTCTTGACCGACTCGAGGATCGGTAGTGAGAATCGTGCGAGTGTTGGTGTTGAATGCCCGGGTTGGCAATCATGTTATGGAAACGGGAGGGATCAGAGACGTAGTCACCGATTACAGCTGCCATAGCATCGTATTATTCCAGCAAGACTGAATTACAATTAGGATGGTTGGAACAGGCAACTGCAGGAACGACGAGTTAGCATCATGTTCGAGTTGCATTCTGTGGTTTGGGTGTATAGGAGACGAAAGTAGTATTGGGGCAGCAACGGTTGCCGTGTGATGACATTGGCGCCCAAGACTGCCAACCGACAAAACGAGCGCCGCACAAGGCCGGTTTTTTTCGAACCTCAGGCTGACTCAAGACCTTGTGCGAGGGCAGTGACGTGAGGTAAGGGCCGTACTCGTGGGGAAGGAGAAGGGGAGTGCATATGGGCAGCGGAGATTGGGCAAGCAAGGCTGAGTGTTTGCACATGCAAGTCAAGGCATGGGAAGGGCAGCCCGATGGCAGACGAACAGCCGGAAGCCACCAGTAGGAAAACACCGACCCAGGCAAGCGCGCTGAGATCACAGCCCAACGTCATGATCGTGATGGCAACAACCTTGGATGTAGAGCTGATGGCAGCCTTGAGCATCGCGCAGGCACGAACGACGTCACAGGTGCGCCTCTCGTTGCCAGGACGAATCAAGTGAAAAGCGACATGGGTTGTAGGGGAAAGACAGGGAAGATGGAGAATTGCAGAGGCGGAAGGCAAGACAGAATGAACTCACCTAAGTCGTCCAACAAAGAGGCGGAAGGGCCTGTCGACAGGCGATGGATCTACTAGATACAGAGTATTCGGGTAGAGAGGCGGGAGGATCGACGCGATGAGGGGGCAACGGTGTATGAGTGCCGCGGTCGCAGGAAGTATTCGTCGGAGATAGCAACGAGGTGTCGAGTGCGAAGACGTCGAAGGTAGGTCGGATCGGGTCGAAGGGAAGTAGGCTCACAACGAGACGCGTTAGGCCTGACAGAGACGGCTGGGTGATGTCGAAGGAGGCGGCGATGGCGACCTTTTGGCGGAGCAGGAGTCTTGAGGCGGTAAGAGGGCTCGTCCGACTAAGGTAGGCGACTCGAGGATCTGTTTCTGTTCTGTTTCGCAGAGCGTCTGCGATGTCGAGTACCGAGAAACAATCAAGGTACCGGTGGAGGGGGGGGTCGGCGAGATCAAAGGAAGAGGAAGTCGTCGAAAGAAGCCCCCCTTGTTGAAAAGACGTCCAGTCTAGAGAAAGGACGAAGCAAGACCAGAACAGAAAAGCAGACTGGGGGGAAGGAAGGAGGAAGAGAGAAAAAGGGTCGGAGGAGAGCGGGTTGGATGGGGGTGTGTGGATGGATGGATGGATGGTGGATGAAGGATGAATCGGGGGAGAAGCGGGCGCGGGTTGGCAAAATGGGCGACGGGTAATACCTTAGAGATGGGGGGGAATGGGAAAAGAAGGACGGCGGGAGGATTTGGGCGCGACGGCGGCGGCGGCGGTGGGTGGCAGGCGGCAGGCAGGTGGGTGGCACTTTACTGCGCAGGAGCGAAGGAGGGGGGGAAACTTGGTGAAGGCAGGATACAGCGCTCAATGCTTAAGGCGGGCAGCGGGACCTTAGAGGCACGGTAGAGGGGCCAGCGGGCTGGTGGAGAGAGAGCGCTGGAGACGCAATGGCCGATGGACTGGGCCTGGAAGTTGGGCTACTTGGTAAAGTGGATGCTGTAGTTGCTGAGGATTGGTACCTTGCTTCACCTATCTGGATTCAGATAATGTCGAGTAAAGATGATGGTATCAGGTCATGAATGTGAGTTACTTGTGTGGCTTGGTTGGTCTTTACACTCGAGATGTATGAGAAGGGAAACAGTTCTCTTACTTTGGTGACCTGATGAGAGAGGATAGATACCCAGAGTGAGTGAGATGATTATAGGGGACCCTGGATGAGATTGGCGGTCTGGTGGAGACGAATGAGGTAGATGGCAAAAAGATGGCCGCCAGAAGGCTCAGCTGGGTTAAGTCGATTCATGGATGGGTGGATGAGAAAGCATTGAGAGGACCTTACCACCTGTTGATGTGCAGCAGCTCCCCGAATGACGGCACACTGCACAGATGCATCACTCCAGACTCCAGACTCCAGACTCACTGTAGACTGTTCCCAGAGTCCAAACCGTTTGTTGTCGCTCGTCACTCACGGTGGCTGACGGGTTCGAAAGTAAGGTAAGTAGTGCCGTGCAGCGAACTGGTCCATTTTCATTACAGCGCAGCGCAGCGCAGCTGGCAGCATGCACGCTCAGTTGCGATGCCACGGCCGTGGTTCCCCGCGTGTCTTGGATCCGCGCGTGAGTTGTCATTCACAGGCATGTGAGCTTCACTCTGAGATTCACCCTACGACTCGGTGAGATTCCAGTGAGCCGTGAGTGATTCTCAGCCAAACCCAAGTCTCATCTCTCTTCACTCATCACCTCTTCCGTCTTTTCTCAAAACCTGCAAAAGGTCTACCTGTACAGCTAGTGACCATCATGGATCTCATCTCGACTGAATGTCTCACTGCATCTCGTGTGGCGGCATGGCAAAAAAAAAAAAAGATGAGGAGCCACCCGAAACATGACATGACAGAAGCCCGCGCTAGCCATCAACACCCACCTACGGCCACGAGCAAGCAAGCACTGACAAGCAAGCAATGGAAGGTAAGGTGAGGTGAGGTAGCAGCCACTCACAGCTCCCGCAACAGCAACACCCGTCACCCGTGGGCCAAGGAATCCAAGGGTCCTCCGTGCCTCCCAGGCTGCCCCCCGAATCTGGATCTCTGCTCGTGCCATCGTTGCAAGTCGGAAACTCCCAGTTCCTAGTCGGCGGGCCCAACCGAACCAAGCACAGCCTCATTGCGATCCTGCTCTCGCCATCTTTCATCCAGCTCTCACTCTTCTCTGTGCTCTCTCTCTCTCTCTCTCTCTCTCTCTCTCTCTCTCTTTCGTCCCTCGCGCCGAGGTCCTGGAGGCTGGAGCTTCACCTCGACATGGACCTAAATTGCGCTCCTCTCCAGCCGCAACCTCACGAGCCCCGGTCCTTGCTTTTCCCGAGCTCCCAACTTGGGGAGTACATACGAAGTCTCCAACATTTCCCGATGGGATGGATGGCTGCCCAACGAATACTATTCTCGCTATACAGCATACCTCTCTGCCTTGTGCCTCAGACCTTGAAAGGCTTGGATGCTTCCCCAGCCTGCGACCGTGCTACCACTTCGCCTCAACAGAGACTGACCTAACAGCTCGCACTCGCAGCACGTCCAAGCAAATTGGCAACAGCCTCGAGTCGGAGCATCTGCATAGAAGAACGCAAAATGAAAAGAAATAATAGAGAGAGAGAGCGCTTGCAAAAGACGGCGGACCACTGGAACCGACACGCGGCGGAAAGACAGACGACCCATCCGCATCGTCGGGAGGAGAGGGTGTGCCCATGCCCTTCTCCCATTGGTTTCTCTGATACGCGATACCGCTGATAAGAAATTTGGCGAGCAGGGGCCACCTGAGCCTGGCAGGGGAGACCTGGAACCTCGACTTTTCGACACTTTCATCCCCCTGGCACGTTCTGCCGTTCTGGTGTCTTATCGGATAAGATAAGGTACGTATCTCACTCTCCTCCCCCCCTCCCCCCTCCCCTCCTCTCCGCCCGCCAGCCCTGCCACCTCCCTTTCTGACCTGACCTGAACACCCACCCCATGGAACCAATCGAGCACCTTAACAATACCTAAGATACCTGGGTACGGAGCATTCGCATCGTAATTCCAATCGCCAATTGCCTGCCGTAATACGACACGCTGGACCCGAGATGCCCTTCCAGCTCCACCAAAATAACTGCAGCATGCAACTTTGGCCATGGCACAAAATGGATCTCGGAGGAAACATCGACAAGCTTCTCCCATTTTACGTACTGCAAATTCGCAAACACCGTGCAGTGGCACTCCATGCCCCTCTGGTATCCTGGATTTCTATTCCAGTACCCCCCGCTCAAGTCCCGGCCGAATCTGGACCTCACTTCCGTCCAAATCAAGCAACATCGTCGTTGATGACTCCATAATCGCATAGCCAGCCACGCTCTCCCCATTATTTCCCCCTTTCCACATAGCATCGCACTATGTACTCCAAAAGAAAGCTGTCCTGAGCTCTGACAATAGACACAGAGGCCACGGCGACTTTAACGACCGGTCATTTCGGGGCTCAGAAAATAGAAACAGACAGTCCGTCGTTCCTGGTCGCCTACCTATCAGGTACCCGCCGGGCCCGTCTAACGCGAGATACCTGTCAACACCAACCGAACGTTGACTAACAGCACATGAGACGACCAAATGCCCGCCGGATCGTTGCATTCGCGCCAAAGGGTTGTCTGCTGCTTACACCGCTAGCAATCTACAAACACTCAGCTGCCGCTATCCCACCTCCTGACACCCATTACCTACGGACTACACTAGGAGTACCGGTAAGCTATTCAACGGCAATAATGCCCATTGCCAATACCAAAACGTCCAAAAGGGGCAACACAAAAACAAGCTTTCATCATCATCCATCCCACGCCCAGCTGCTCCCCAGCAGTAGCACCACCACGGCACCAAGGACCTTGTACGATGTTGGCTGGCCGGGCCCCCCCTTTCCCCCTTCCAAGACGCCTTGACGCCCCCCCCGGGGCCTGCACGGATGGTGACTTCCGGCCAATACCCGGCGTTCCCTCCGGCACGAGGTCTTGGGATCTTGGGGTTTGTTTCCAAGAAATTCCCCTATCTAATCAACACTACTCCATACCTTCCTTACCTAGTATGGATACAACACACATAACGAGGCCTTCACCGCAATACCGCCCCGGCCCCCAGAAACGGATACCCTAATGATCAATCTGGACGGAGCAAGGCATATCGCGCAATCGCCAGATATTGCAAGCCCATGGCAGCCATCGTGGCACACCCGCAGCCCGCAGCCCGACAGCCCCGTCCCACGCTTCTATCCACCGCCCTTCCATGACCTTTCCTAAATCGTTACCGACGGCCAACGACTTGGTATCACCCTTCCGTCATCACTCTCCAACTTAGTCATGCGCTTGACTTGCTCGTACAGTACTCCGTACCTATGTTACAACTTGGATGACTTTGCTTTGCGTCGACTGGGTACTGTGTAGTCGATGTTCTCTCAGCGTCAAGATTCTCAAGAATCATACTCAGCACCCGGATGCCTTTGCGCAAGTAACACACCATGCCATCAAGCGTGCCTCGGGTAGACAAACTCATCTTTAACCTCACCTACAGGTTAAGCTATCATCACATCACATATCCTCCAACGAGAAGCCAAAGGCACCTCCCGCCCCCGTCCTCCCCTCCCCGCACCCGCCGTTAACTTAATCCCGCTCATCACTCACCATCCCGCAGAACCGAGCTGCGCTAAAATCCCCTTCCTCCCCCCCCCCATACCATCCCTCACCGCCTCCGAATCCGAGGCTTCGACAGTGATAGTGACAGTGACACTCTGACACCCCTTATTTTTAATCTACCATGCACTCCGTAGAGTGACTGTGCCATCCTCCCTGCATCGTGCATACGAGTGGCAGCGTTCGCGTGCCGGCATCTCCTTCAGTCACTTCCTACCAATACCAGGACTTGAACTTTGAACCTTACCCCCAGACTCTTATTCTCTCGCTCGTCCATTGTGGCGTTGCAGCGCATCGCACGCAATCGCATCTTATCATATCGACCGCGCGAGCTACCCGTACCTACTCCCGTTCCATGCTGTGTAGTACCGTACCTTATCGCAATCTTCTGGGGTGTCACAGTCTCACAATCCATGGAGTAACCCTCGGGCCTCTCGTGAAGAAATCGCGTCTTGCGGGTAATCTATTTATTGTACATTCATCGTTTGTCGCCAAGCCCGAGATCTCGCCCCGGCATGGACGTTCTTCGCTCTGTCTTCTCCTCCCGGGACCCGGGGGGCAACTTCGTGACCGCGCGGCAAACTAGCCTGTGTGACGTCTTGTTGCCCATCATGCCCGGCCGATGTCGATGGAGGCGACTCGTTGGCTTTCCTCAGGCCACATCACAATAAACGTCTCCCTTTCTCTACCTCTTCCTCTGGCTTTCCCACATTCAACTTCTCCCATCTAGTGCTGCACCTTGTAGTCCTCGTCGGGGAGGTACAGATGCCGCACGGCGCCCTTGGCGGTCAGGACGACCATGCGAATGACACCACCGGAGCTGCCATCCCACTTGATGGCCTCCTTGAGCGATCCCTTGACGAAGTCGACGGCCTCCTTCTCCTCCATGCCCTCCTTCCAGTGCTCGTCACAGTATCCGTAAATGTACGTCGAACCCGAGCCGCCAATGGCATATGCCTGCTTGTGTAGGGATCCGCCGAGGGGGATGGAGTAGACCTGGCCGCCGTGTCGCTCGTCCCAGCCGGCAATGATGAGACCGGCGCTGTGAATCGTTTCGAGTTAGTTATAATCCAGATGCTGCGGCCCTGACGTCTCATGGTCGCATGGAGACACTTCCGCGACAGCAGAAGGCAAGAAAACTTACGTCAAGCGGTCCTTGTTGGCGTAACAGACCTCCTGGAAGATGGCGGCGGCGGTCTGGGTCATGGGAGGCTTTCCGTTGCGCATGGCGTACAGGCCAAGCTGGTACTGGACAATGTCGGCGACGGCCTGGGTGTCGGCGGCGGAGCCTGACCGGCAGCACCAGATGGTATCGTGGACTTGTGTGAGCTTGTCGGTGACTCGGTTGGCAATGTAGGCGCCCGTCGTTGTTCTGGAATCAGCACCTAGATGGAGTGACTCGTCGTCAGTTGTACGTTCCTCGTATGGTCCCTGTTTGTGTGCCCCTCCAGAAGTGTCCAGAGTCTACTGTGGCCACCCCGGGGGCATATGCGTTTGGTAAGACATGTAGACGTAAATCTGACGTACCGAGAATAACACCGTCCTTGAAGGTGACTGCCATACTATCGCGAGTTGTCAGATCGATGCGGAAGGGGGAGGGGCGATCGGAGGGGTAGCTTACATTGAGGTTCCGAGGCTATGACATAAGTTAGCTATGGTTCTGTGGGGGACCGAGGATATAGCATCATCACTCACTTGACCTCTCCCTTCTTTAATCTCTCCATGTCGATGTGAATGCCATCTGTTCGCCCGCAACCGTCAGCTCCAGTGTTCCATTCTGGGATGTGTGATCCCGCAATAGCATCATCCAAGCTTCTGCCCGCCCGTACCTTCGTTCAGCTGTCCGGTGGTGGTGAACTCCATTTTGATGACTTTTGTGTGTTGTGTATCTCGTTACTTCGTGTGCGAACTCGGTATGTCGAGGGTTGGAGGTCGGAGGGAGGGGGGAGGATTCGGCGTAGATATCGAAGGGGGGTGAATTGGTTTGATGTGTCGTCGGTGGAAGGCTGAATGGAGCTTGACGAAGCTCAGGCAGCTCCAGAACGCGTTGGCCTTGTCCGCCCGGGACGCTTGGAGGAGCCACGTGACCGATGACATAATCAGTCATCGGTGACACGCAACGATGCCATGCGCATTTGAAGATATTGAGCTGATTTTGATTCAATTCAATGGAAAACTTGATCATTCAACAAAACTCATATTCTTATACAGAAAACCCCGTACAGCTTGGTTGTTAGGGTCATAGTATGGCCGTTTCAATAGCTGTTCAATGCTATTCCGGAGGGCCCCACGTGAGGACGATAGCTTCTGAGATGGAGATACTGCCACGAACTACAGATACTGGCATACGAAACTTTACCCCAATATAGACGATTCCCGTTCCAAACCTCATCAAAGCGAATACGTCCAAAACCTCAAATTCAATTTGTTCCGCTGGATCCGGTGGTCACCCACAACGCCGGCCCAGGAAATGCATCTTTGTACAGGTATTCTTGTAGATATGGTACAACAGTCACGCGCCTCGGATATCCAAAATATGTCAATCAAGCAACACTTTAACCGCCCTTGGTGAGACTGTCAAAATGTCAGCAAAGAAAATCCCGGTCGCAAGACTCTGCCACAAGCAACATAACTCACCCGTCCTTGGCCAGCTCAGCGCTGGGCTTATCACCACCGCCCTCGGTCTTCTTCTTATCCTCATCGCCGCACCCGCAGTCGTAAAAATCGCCAATCTTGTTACAGTCAAACAGCTCCTTCTTCAACCGGGTGTTGACCTCGTTGTGCACGAAGCAGGCCCAGCCCGCGGCGGCGTTGCGGCTGCTCGTTTGGGGCGGGTACTTTGCCAGCAGCTTGCGGAAGTGGGAGGCGCAGTCGCCGCAGGGGTAGAGGCGGGCAAAGAGTTGGATGTACGTCTTGAGAGCGAGGCTGTCGTCGGGGGTGGGCTTCTCGGGGAAGCGGGCCATCATAGTGTGGAAGAGCTTCCACGAGGCGCGGCCGAGCTCGGCTCTGCGGGGAGGAGAATGTGTTAGCATAACCTTGAGAACCAGGAAGACCCGAGGGAACGGTCCCGGGAGGTGGGTATTCTTCTCATGCAAGAGGGCGGGAGGCTTACTTTGCCGTCGCATTCTCCAACTTGGGCGCAATGGATTCGCCGGACAGGATGCTGCTCGAGATGTGGCCAAGATCGGGGGTGTCACCGCTGGAGGATACGGAATCGCCCTTTAGGGGTACGGCGGCGGCTGGGGGCGCGGGGGATGAGGGTTCGCTGGTGCCGCTCGAGAAGAGGTAGGAGACGCTGAAGAAGGCGACGACGGCCAGGAGGACCATGAGCGTGAAGTGTTGTCTCCGCGCCATGGTGGGCGATTGGCTGTCGCTTGACTCTTTGAGGGCGAGTTTGCGAAAGTCAAGTATGCGCAGAGGTAAGTGATAAGGTACTCCGTGGAAGATGTATGTGGTGAGGAAAGGACTGAAGAGAAGAAAGAATCTCCTGCAAAAAGGAGGATGCGAAACCTCGGACGGAAATCGCGTCGTTCTGGCAGCTCTTTGGTTAGGTTATCTGGGCTTACCAGGGCCAGGAAGAAACCCTCCCCCAAATAATCACCGACGAGGAGGGGAGACTCGGCGAGGGACGACAGAGTCGACCAGGGGGGGTGTTCATCTTTCAGACTTTCAAAGGGCTAAGGTACGGTGGTACTGCGTAAGGGGACATTTGGTCGGCCCACGGCGCAGGGGTCGTCAGACGAGGCTATTTTGCTGCCGCCAATCCCGTCGCCGCAGTTTGGGCGTAGTGCCACCTGTCGCATGGCCCCTGGCGCAGTCCGCCGCAGTGGTGAGATTTCAGAGCACATGGATTGCCCCCAAATTGCCCCCAAATGCTCCAAATGGCCCCAAAATCCCATCTGTCAGAGCCCCAGAGGTGTCTCGTCAGGTTCAGGTCAGATTCCCCTCCAGCTCGCTCCAAGATTTGCTTATCTAATGCCACCAACGTTAAGGGGTCATGGTCGCTGACGGTCGCTGATTGAATCGGCCCAGCCCTGTGGGATCCCTGGCCCGTGCAGCGTGCTACCCCTTAACTTTGATTCGGGCCCACTCCACTCCCCTAACGCCTGGCAGCGGCCAGGGGTGCCTGCGACCTTCCCGTCCGCCGTCTCCAGTAAGCTAAGGTACCTACCTAAGGTACAAGTAAGTTGCAATTGCCAATTGCATGTTCAAAGTGACAAAATCCACCCATTTAGCCTCACGAAAATGCAACTATCTACTAACAACCGCATTCGCTCCACCAGGTGTTCCCCGAATGACTCATTCCTCAGCCTCAACTCTAGATATCTCATAAGTAACTCAATAGCAACCTCACTCTCAGTTGATTCCACACCAGCATCCCTGAATCTTTTCGAGTTTCCACTGTGAACGCAATCCCAGCATCTAAGCCCGCGACATTATCCAACAGCCTGTTTTTAGCTTCTTCCATACCACAACACCAACCACCACAGCAAACATGGCATCCCCCGTCTCAATCATCGTCGCCTCCAAAAACCCAGTCAAAGTCCAAGCCGCAAAACTCGGCTTCGAATCAGCCCTTCCAAACGCAACCTACACCGTCCGCGGCGTCAGCGTCCCCTCCGGCGTCCCAGACCAGCCCCTCACCGACGAAGAGACCCTCCGCGGGGCTCTGAACCGGGCCCGCAACGCCCGGGAGGTCGAAAAGGACGCAGACTACTGGATCGGCCTCGAGGGCGGCATCGACATGCCGGCCGACCAGAGTGCCCCCATCATGAACTTTGCCTGGATCGTCGTCATCAGCCGGGACGGACGCGTGGGCAAGGCAAGGACCGGCGCGTATTACCTCCCCGAGGAGAGTGCTGCGCTACTGCGCCAGGGCATGGAGTTGGGGCATGCGGACGATTTGATCTTTGGCCAGACGAATAACAAGCAGAGCAAGGGGTCTGTTGGCATGTTGACGGATGGTGTCATTGATCGGACGTCGTACTATCACCACGCTGTCATCCTAGCTCTGATTCCCTTTAAGAATAGGAATTTGACGTTTGTCTGAACATTTCGGGCAAGTGCAAAGCAGGGGTTGTCCCTCCAACGTTTGGATATCAGGCTTGATGTCTTCTTTGGTCTCTCTCGACACTTGATATCGAGGCAGGTGAGATATGCATGAAATATAAGCTCAACTGGAAGCTATCATCCAGTTCTGCATACACTAGATATGATCCTATTTAGCAAGGCATGCTCTTTGCCATGACTCAAAGGCGTTCTCTGGTACTTCCTACCAGGTATTTAAACGTCTTACTACCTGTAATAGACACCGTATCTCATCTTTGCGCGAAAGAATCTTGGTGCATCGGTTGCATGCAATTGCAACCTTTTGGACGCCATTCACTGCAGAGGATGTGAACCGCTTAGACCACATGTACCCAACCACCTCTCATCCCCAACTTCCCAACCATAGCGCTTTTCTCCTCTGTGAACGCTCAATCTCGCGTTGTTTATTCGTCATCGAATCCTCACGTAGAACGTGCTTCCGAGGTTGAGGGACACTCGCATTTTCTTTCACTTCTTGGATTCTTCCAATTAAATTTTCTTTGCAGACTCAGTCGACTGAACTTCCTTATCAGTCTAGCCTCTTCAAATACCTTCTACTTACAGGTGGCACGATCGTTCATTCTCTAGACATTCTAGTAAGTCCTACTCACAGCAACTCTTCCTGTGAGATTCCCAAGGTAGGAAGAGTTGGTCTTAGTCCATGATTAGAGTTCGACCCAAAGGCAAGCATTTACAAAGGTAAGTCGTCAATCACTTGCTTCTTGTTCTCAGTCATCTCATCATCTCCCGCAGCGCCTACCGTACAGTCCGTACATCTAATGGTTAAGTTTGTTGAGTTCCTAAGCAAGGCTCACTCATCAACTATCAAGCCCATTCTGCTACTCGACGCCAGTTCGCCTAAAGGCGATCAATAACATCTCTGGAGCATTCTGGCAGGACTTGATCTCGACCCTGGTCAATGTGTCACTATCTCCTGGACTTCCCAGTCAGCACGTCTGGATTGACTACCGACTCTATCCCACCAGAATACTCCATAGTCTTCCTTCTGCTTTCGCGAGGGCAATAAAAAGGGGTCTTCTGGCGGTCCATCTCGATATGGAATCTCTCTGCGCAATAAAGTTCTCCATAGTGGTCGCGGCGAAGATGCCAGCGCATCTCATCTTTGCGGGAAAGACTTTTCAAATGAGGATATCTTGGCATGGATTGTATGAGATGTTTTCTTTGAGCGAGCACTTAAACCCTCTTTGCCCCCCTCTGTGATCGCTCGCTCACGCTTAGTTTATTCGCTGTCGAATCGTCACGTTAAATATACTGACGAGGGTCTACGAGAAATCACATCCAGTTCATTAAGTTCTCAGTCAACACTTCTTTATTAAGCTACCAAACAAACTCCAGGACCATCCCCAAATCCTTCCACCCTAATGACGATTACTTAGGGCAATCGAGAAGGGCCTGCTAGCGGCCCTTCTCGATATGGAATCCCTCGGGATAATGCTTTCCATAGTGGTCGCGGCGGAGATGCCAGCGCATCTCATCCTTGCGCGAAAGGATCTTGGTGCATCGATTACATTCGATCGCGACCTTCTGGACGCCATTCACCATTCTCGGGAGCTCCCGGCAAGGTGGTCTCGGAGAGACATCTGCCAGGCCATAGTGCGCGGGGTCAGGGTCGGGCGTTCCGTCGTTGAACTGGGAACCTGCAATGGTTCTGGTATGCGAACGTCTCCCATTTCTGGCCCGAGGAGCTCGAACGTTGGCGGCGGGTTGAGGATTATTGTCCTGTCCGAGCGGGTTGGGAGCGGCGGCGGCGTCGTTCTGGGCATTGTCTTGCTGAAGAGGGGCATCCTCGTTGTGGCCATCATGGTGCTGCTCCTGCTGCGGCTGATCGAATGCGTGGTTCTGGTGAACATGGTGATGATGCTGCTGGTGAAGATCTTGGTCGTGGTGGCCCTGTCCATGAATATGATATCCATTCTCTTGCGCGTACTGCTGGAAAGGCATCTGCTGATACTCCTGGCCCTCATTGTGCTGGTCCTGATGATACTGGAGCTGCACGTCCTGATAAGGCATCTCCTGAGCCTGCATGTCGACCATTTGCTGCCCATACTGCTCGTATCCCTGGTTGTTGTATCGCTGCCATTGCTCGTGCTCTTGAAGGAACATCGCGGGATCGCCAAAGTCGGCGAAGGGTGCAGGGACCGGGCCCAAGTCAGGGTACGCGTTGTTGAAGCCATCCTGGAGCAAGTTGCGGATCTGGCCGGCGTGACCTGGCTGCATGTTCATAGCAATAGCTCGAACATCGTAGATGTAATTGGGAGGAGGATCGATGAAGTTCGGATGCGCGGGGTCGACTGCGGGAGCAACGTGAGGCTCGCTGAGAGGGTGTCCGGCTGGCTGAAAGGCGTTCATGGCGTTCATGGCGTGGTTTCCGAGCTCGGGGTCGATCGGAGGGTAGAGCTCGGCTTGGGAGGCGTCGTTTTGGCCCTGCTGAGCGGCCGGTCCAACGAAAGCGTTCTCGGCTTGCTGGGGAGGCATGACATTCTGGTCCAGGGGCTCGATATAGAACGGATCCTCGTGGGCGCCTTGAGCAGCCTCGTGGTAGTTGTCGTGAAGACGGGGATCCTCGATCTCGTTGTGGTCCGCCAGAGCTTCGGCCGGGTACGCTTCCTCGGGCCTATGTTTCTCGCATCAGAAGAGGATATCTTGAGAGAGTCTCGGGATGAACTTACGGGACGTACTGGTAAGCACCAGCCATTCTGTCTCTTTCGGCCCAGTAGTACTGCAGGCGCTTGCGCTCCTCTGTCATATATCGTCAGCATTATTTCTTGCGCTTCATAGCCACGGGAGGCTAATCTCCCATGGCCTCTGGGGCCGAGAGACCGGTGTCTGGTAGCCAAGAATCGAGCTGCGAGGAGGGAGAAGAGGGCTCCTTTTATACCGCCATCGAGGACGAAGCCTCAGAGGCAGTGGATCGGGGGCCCAATGCCCTCGGTCAGAATCTCGAGGGGTCCAGAAACACTAGAATAAAAGAAAAGTAGGCAGACTTACCTTCGTGGTACTGCTGGTCCATCTTGAATGGACTTTTGATGTGGATGTGGAGGAGAAGTTTTGTTAACAAGGCTGAAAGGAAAGAAAGCTCTTTTTGACCGCTCACCCCGCCTAGCTCCCGCCGTATTCGTTGTGGATAATATCATGGGCCACGGGATAGGGCGAGATCTAAAGGGGCGGGAGCTAGGAAGGGGAGAGGGGTGGACGAGAGAGGCAGCACGGGAGAGAGAGGCAGCACAGACAAGGGAGGCAGCACGGACAAGAAAGGCAGCACGGGAGACAGAGGCAGTACAAGAGAGAGCGACAACACGGGAGAGAGAGAGAGAGGCAGCACGGGAGGGAGAAACAGCACAAGAGAGAGAGACAGCACAGGAAAGAGATATTATAAGAGAGAGAGATATTACAAGGAGGAGAGGCAGCACAAGAGAAAGAGGTAACATAGTAAAGAAAGATATTATAAGAGATAGAGACAGTATGAGAGATAGAGAAAGCAAAAGAAAGAGAGGCAGTACGGGAAGAAGGGACATTATAAGTGAGAGAGGCAGCACAGGAGATTGAGATAGAACAAGAGAGAGAGGTAACATAAGAGAGAAAATCAAAGTAAAAGAGAGATGTGCTATAAGAAAGGTAGTATGAGAGGGAGTAGAACAGAAAGAAAGGATAAGATAGATGATACAAGAGAGACCGCACGAGGGAGATAGTATGAGAGAGATAGGACAAGAGAGATAGCACAAGAGAAATAGCATAAAAGAGATATTATGAGGACTATATCATAAGTGAGAGAAATAGAACAAGAGAGATGGCACGAGAAGATTCCCTTACGGGAAAGGCAGTACGAAAAAGGGGCATGAAAAGGTAGCACGATAAATGGGGAGAAAAAGGCAGCATGAGAGATGGGTTGAGATTTGGGAGGGCATAGAGGGCGAGAGCTTCCAAAGGCTGGCGCAAGGCAGTAAATAGCATCATCAGGCATAGCGTAGCCTTACAAGGCGAGAAGTCGGAGGGCAGAGTAGTCTCAAAGAGCGGGAGCCAGGCAGGACTGTTGCCAGGCTGTGAGATGTCACATTAGGTATACAGTGGGTTGAGAGCAGGTGCCTGGTCTGCTATGTACTATCCTGAAGCCGATTGGAGCACTTACTCGGTGCAGGAAGACCTGTTCTCATGCCAGCCAGAGATCATTACACAGGTGGCTGCCAGGCTGTGAAAAGCATCATGGGCAAGGGCGAGGGCTAGACGGCCATGGTGGACGACTATTGATGAGGAAGAGAGTTTTCTCACGCTACAGTAAGGCAGTCATTGTTGGAGAAAAGAGAATTCGATCTCTATCGAGTACAAAAAGGTCTTCATAACACCCTATTGTAAGCAGAGCGGACTTGATGAGGGCGTGTAGGCAGTGAAAGACACATGGTGGCAAGGCACAGGCTATGAATCAAGTGGCTAAAGTGACTTCGAATGGCGTGGGCTTGGTAAGCTGTTGCCAGGCACCGTAAGGTAGTGAAAATTATCATGAGGTATGGTCTAAAGCGAGCGCTAGGCGGGTAGAAGGGTTCCGACGAGAGAGAGCTCCCGAAATCTGTTACTAGGTAGTGAATGTGATAGTGAGGCATGATTTTGAGACAGTGCAAGGACTAAGGGAGAAGAGTGGTCTCAAAGAGTGGCAGCTCGTGGTTGCTAGGCAGCGATATATGCATGGGGCGGGTTTGGAAGAAAGATGGAATCTTTAATTTTCAGGAAGTTCATCATCGGCACCGTCGGATCCGGACTCTTGGAAGAGCTGGACTGGTAGGCTGGGGTTGATCTGGGCAAATGTTTTCACAGATAGTCATGAAGCCTACTTGCAAAGCTCTTAAATCAATTGGATTAAGAACTTGAGGTAGAGCTAGAATAGTGGGCGCAAGACCTTGCAAAGAGAACCGGTAGAGAGGGATAGTCGAATAAGGAAAGATGTAGATTTTCTTCATCTTAGAGGGAATTGAATGGTCAAGTCCTTGCTAGGTACGAGGGTGAGTTGAAAGGGATCAGGCTACACCATGTTGGAGAAAAGTGCATATGACCTCGAAAGTTCGAGTTTGGGCTAGAGAGCAATGGTGTCTTGGAGTGACTCGAAAATGATCATGGTATCTCCTTTGTTGATATTATGACATGAGGCTTATCAGAATACACTTGAGATGCCTCTGTGATCCTGATGTTGCGATATTCTATGGAGGGTACAAGTACTGTAGCGAGGTACCTAAGCGCCATCCAACTTGCACCTGGCCAATTTGACATGAGATGGATTTGTTGGGACGTCTCGCCATTTGAGCTCATGCATGGATAAGACAACATGAAGAAACTGAAGAATGAATGCTCAAAGCAATCTTCAACGTTTGTAGACGTCCCATTTAGCATGCTATAGGAGTGTCGCCGTCAACTAGAAGCCGGAGCGGAGCGGGGTGACCTGGCCGAGTTTCAGTGGAGCAGCGCCGAGACAATCGGCACGGAGTGTGCCGGAGACGGGAATGCAGCGCAGGGCCCCAGGCGGCAGATCAGCTAATCAAGTGGTCCTACCTTAAATCTTGGCAGGACTCAGAAAAAAGAGAGAGGGAAAAAAAAAGGTAAGACGGGAAGCCGGATGGTCGGCAAGCTGGTGAGACCTTGTGTCACGCTTGTTCACCTTATCTTGGTTGTTGCCATCATCTCTCCACATAAGATTTGCGCAGATGCTTGAATTCTTACGTACTGGTGGTCCCGGTGGGCGCTCACTGGCGACTGCAGTACCTGTCATGCAAGGGGAGCGGCACAATGTTTACCAAGTCTTGCAGGTTTACTGTAGGGTAATAAGAAAAGGCAAAGTTGGAAAAGGCTCGTGATGGTGAAACGCTGCGAGTGCTGGCGGCAGCATCCCGGGCATGGCTGGCTACGGCGCATGGGAGCTTACTGTATGTACTTTGCCTTACTTCAAGGCTCAAGGCTCAAGGCTCAAGGCTCAAGGAACTTATGCTTGCTGATGGCTGGAATGGGGGCTCGAGATTAGGATGGCAATTGGCTCAAGCTGGGCAGCATGACCCCGGCTCCGGCATCTTCTAGCCGCACCCTCGACGCCAAATCTTGGAGGGGGCCATGACGTCAGGCGCAGGCGCGAGTTGCATGTTGCTTGCGACGCTTTGTTGATCTTGCTGCGTTCTATGGTTCCGTATCTTATTCTTTTCGTATTGTGTGATGCTGGATGGGTGTGTAGGTACTCACTATGCTGACATGTTGGCTCGGTCTCTCTCTCTCTCTCTCTCTCTCTCTCTCTCTCTCTCTCTCTCTCTCTCTCTCTCTCTCTCTTTTCCTCACTCTGTACCCATGCAAGCCATGCCTCTAATGATGATCTATCTGTACGGAGTACAGGGGAACAGAGGCTGAGGATATGAACAGGGGGCAGGGTCCCTTGTTTTCGCAAAGAGTCCTAGTCTCTATTCGTATGTACTATGCCTACACATACGGAGTAGCTAGCTCGCGCAAGAGTCAAGGATCACGTCTAACCCAAAAGAGGGCATTTTTGATGGTTTGGACTGCGGCTTGTGATTTCCCTCGGACCCCGTCTCTGTTACCCCCCCAGCCCCTCGCATCGTCTTGTCTGTCTGGTCAGTGGTGGTGGTCTGGTCTGACTGAGTCTTTCTCTTCCTTCTCGCTCCATCCGGTTACCTCCCATTTCAAAGCTTCTTTTCTCATTTTTCCTTCCTCCAAACAACTTTCTCCTGCCATTGTCATATCTTGTTCTTTTGGATGCCCCCTTGGCCGTCAGCATAGATACTTCTCCTTCAAACACAACAGACGAATAAGCGCCATCTACCCTACCTAGCACCTCGAATCCCCTTGTCACTTCGGCCAGCGCATCTTCTTCAACAAACCAACGTTCCTCCCGCCCGCCGCCAAAGCTTCGCTTCGTTTGCAAGCGGACACCACGGACCCCATGCCAAGCTTTTGGTGATCCCCCCAAAGACATCATTGGACACAGCTCTCCAAACCCAAACTCAGTTCCCGGTTCAAGCTCAAGCAAGCTCATCTCGGTGGAAGTGAAGTGAAGCTCAGCCCAGCTTTGAGAGACAGAGACAGTAACCGAGAGCTCGCACTCGCACTGAAGAAAGACACAGCAGCGCGCTGCCCCTCCACGATTTGGAGGGATCGACACTCTCGGGTCTTGGCAACGGCCACCACGGCGCTGCAGGGTTTTTCTGACAGGATCTGGCGCTATCCTGTTCGCTCCATCTGCGCCCTACGGATCCTAAGAAATTGAGATACACGAGAGAGAGACACAGGGACTTTGTCTCTTCCGCAAACCAACACTTGCCGGGGTTCCCAACGCCTCTCTCCGGCCCCCCCGACGGGCGCATTTCAAGCCACCATCGCCGTCGCCGTCGCTGTCGCCGTCGCTGTCGCCGTCGCGATCGCAGACATTCTCCCGTAATTCCAATCAAAAGTATCTCTTATTTCAATCGCGCACTATAACCACCATCCGCACCATGTCGGCCGCCGACGAACAAAGGCCCAACGGGCACCCACATTCCGCCGACCCGTCCACCTCTGCCGCCGCCGAAACTTCCACCACCACGGCCACAACGTCGGCGCCACCAACAGATCTCGGCGCCGCTCAGCCTGCGACAACAACAGCAACAGCAACCTCTGAGCCGATTGAGAATCTTAACGGTCACACGGTGAATGGCACCGCAGCTGACGGTCCCTCGACAAACGGCCACGCACCCAATGGCACAACTCACGCCCCGGCGGCCCTCAACGGCAATGCTACCACCCACGATGTGTCGGACCTGAACGGGCACTCGTCACCTTCAGCCAACGGCGCGCCCGCCGCTGCCAACGAGCAGATCAATGATGGCACAGTCCCATCAACATCAACAACAAACGGTGGGCCGCCAACCAACGAGCATGAGCCCAAGCACGGAGAGGGAGCAGCCCTCGAGAACAAGATCGAGGGCGTACAGAACCCGGATGCTAACGGTCACAAGCCGCCCCACGAGAAGCCCCATCATCACTCTAGCGATCTCAAGGGCCTGTACTCCGAGGGCAAAGAAAAGGTCAAGGACAAGACTAAGCCCTCTGGCGGCTTCGATCCGACTCCCTTGCCCGACGCGCCTCCCGGCTACACCGTGCGTTTCATCTTCCACAAGGCGAGCAACCTCCCCGCCGCCGACATTGGCACCCAGTCCTCCGACCCTTTTATCCACGTCACCCTCCGCGCCGCCGTCCCGAAGCGCCACAAGGAGGACCCGGACCTCACCCTCCGCACCCAGACCATCCGCAAGACGACGGAGCCCGTATGGGATACCGAGTGGGTGGTGGCCAACGTCCCCGCCGACGGCTTCATCCTCAAGTGCCGCCTCTATGATGAGGACTGGCCCGACCACGACGACCGCCTCGGCAACGTCACCATCAGGGTCCCGCACGTCGGTCCGGACTGGAAGGGGTACCCGCGCCCCGGCCAGGAGTTCACGGCCAAGAAGCGCATGGGCAGCAAGCGGGCTTACTTCGTCAAGGCCATCACCAGCCACTTTGATCCGCGCGTCGACATGTCACCCAGGCTGTGGATCAGTATGGAGCTCCTGGGACAGTCTGACCCGCCGCATGCGCAGATGTGCACCCTTGGGCCGACCACCTACTTTAAGCACTTTAGTCCCATGATTGGGCGTCTTACTGGTATCAAGGTCAACCGGGACGAGGAGAACGATGCCCGGTCCGATTTGTTTGACGAGGCTGAAAACAAGGAAAAGGACAACAAGACCCAGAAATACGAGTAAGTCTTCTGAGAGTATCTCACGGTAAATCAATTGCTAATGAACGTCTTAGCTTCCAATCAAACGAGATGCAGCTCTCAGGACCCGTCCCTCCCGAGCTCTACCACCGCTACGTCGAGTTCCGCCCCATGATCGGCCTCATGTTCGCAAAGAGCGGCCTGCGCGGCCGCATTCTTAACAAGGCCCTGCACAAGCAGCACAGCCGCGTCTATAATTTCGACAGCTCGACAGAATACGGCGTCTTCAAGGCCCGCTCCGAGGAGGCCGCGCTGCAGTTCCTCAAGCTCGTCCACTTTGACCAGGGCGGCCGCATCTTCACCTACGTGTTGACGCTCGACGGCATGTTCCGTTTTACGGAGACGGGTAAGGAATTTAGCATCGACATGCTTAGCAAGCATACCATGCACAGCGACGTCGAGACGTACATCGCCTGCTCGGGCGAGTTCTTCATCCGGCGGCTCGAGAAGCCTGATGCGTCGGAGGAGGCGGACCCGCCCGAGCGGACGCACCCGACGGAGGAGCTGCCCAACGGCCCGCCGAACGAGCACCCGCCGCACAACCCGTCGTACTACCAGCTCTACATCGACAACGACTCGGGCACCTACCGACCAGACAAGTCGATCCTCCCCAAACTCAAGGAATTCCTCGAGGCGAACTTCCCCGGGCTGGGCATCGTGGTGATGCACTGCGAGGACGAGAAGCTGCAGAAGCTCAAGAAGGAGCAGGTCGAGGCCAAGAAGAAGGAGGGCAAGATGATCAACATGGTGGCGCGGAGTCCCAGCTCGAGCTCGCTCAGCTCCAACGAGAGCGCGCTGGAGCACATGGACGAGGCCGGGTATGATGGCGAGCCGGTCAAGAGTACGACGCAGAAGGCGCTTGATGCGTTGGAGGACCCGAGTAGTCTGAAGAGGATGCTGAAGCCGGGACATCATGGGGGAGGGGAGAGTTCGACGGCTCATTAATGGTGGGGGTTGCGGTGGTTGGGTTGGACTTTTTGACGTTATATCTTTGATACCTTGTTGTTTGGATTTACCGCAATGGTACGGCGTTGACTATTTCTACTTGGATATTCCCCGTCTTTGGACATTACTATACTTGGATCAGAGGCTGGATAGTCTGCAAGATCGACTATAATTGAATTTCACAACATCACTGCTACCTGAACTAAAAGAAAGTACGAATCTCGTTGCGATTCCATTCCATGACCTCACATCTCACAACATCGGACTCGAGGTTATCCGCCTCATTACTCAAGGAGATCAAAGTCTAGAACCTGCGCCCTCTACGAGCCCAAGGCCACCCCGGACTCGGATTAGGACGCGGGAAATCAGATGCCATGTTGGTCTCCTTCTGCCGATCGCCAAAGTAGGTGTTGGCCGGGAACTTGTTCTGGCTGACGCAGTTGGGGTTACACTTGTCGAGGGGTCCGGACTTGCCGCGGGTGAGATCGAGAACGTAGGTATCGTCCTTGCAGTCGGGGAGGACTGTCATCGTTAGTATCTTTAGCAACTACTCTTCTTTCTTAGACATATGATGATGCAGCGATTGGATTTGTAAGAAGCTGGTTGGGCTTACCCTTGAGGTCGTTGAAAGGGATGGTGTTGAGATAGCAATCTTTGAACTGGGTCGAGTAGGCCGTGTAGAGGCCGTTGTAGTTCCAGTACCAATTCCTTATTTTCTCATCAGTACTCTCAGAGCTATTAAGTCAAGGTAAGGAAGACTATGATGCACTTACTTATTGGTGTTGTCGGCAGCGCAGCCCATCATGATGAGGGCACCAGCGGGCCCAGTCTTGACAAGCTCGGACTTGGTATCCGGGCAGCAGTAGGTTTTGACTTCGGCTGTGGCCGTACAGTTGAGGGAGGCGAGGGCGCCTGAGATGGTGGCTGCGATAATGATGGACTTCATGGCTTGTGTTTTTGAGTGTTTGGTTTAGGTTATGTGGTGAAGGGCCTTTTGGTGGCTTCAAGTGAAGGTCTTTTATCATCTCTCTCTGAAGACGATTGTGCACTCTATTTATACTCAAAACTACAGAGACATAAGATATGAATGTCAGATTCTTGAACGCAATAAGCATCATGGCTCACGCCGGCTAAGCGAGTATGCGGCATCGAGCTGGTGGTATTGTTCAACTACCGAGTTTGCGGGGATTTAGCCTATTGCCTCTTTCATCTTCCTAGAGACTGTTCATCTGTCATGCTTCATTTAGAAGCTACCACAAACGGCAATTTGGAAAAAAGTTCAGGACAAGTTGGGGTTCACAAATTGAAATGGGGAGGCGCCAAGACGAGAATCTCTATAGGCCAACCGGATGTTCACCTGCAGATATTTGCCGGGTCTTCATGTATCGAAAGTTCCGATGCTACGTTGAAGTGTATCCATCCCGCATTTAAGCTAGAGGCAAATAGTTTATAGCAATGATGATTATGAAAGACCAAGAACAGTTGGATTGTGATAGTTTCGCGCTGCGTAATAGACGTGTATGCCAGATGAACTCAATCCTCCAAACGGCAAATCACCAGACTGAGTCCAGGTAAGGCTACATTGTTGTCACGGATTACAATAGGATTGATAGCATTGCGGTGTGGAATCAACCAATGAAACAACTCTTAGTGCTAGGTTAAAGAGCAGATGACCCCTTGGAGCGAAGAATGCTCCTTTGGCAGGTGACGATGTTTATGCCAAGACAGGTTTTGCCTGAAATGCGTGTTTTATGAACACCACCTCCAAGTTGAAAACTGATCGGTCAAATGGATTGTCACCTTGGGTACCCAAATATTGAAGCAGATCGTTGCTAGTATCGAGTTGCAGCTGGTTCAGAGAAAGGCGATTCTATCTTCACTGTTCTATGCCTAGGTAGATGGCGACACAGCTGGGGCGAGATGTTTGACGCAAAGATAGTTTTCAAAGAATCATCCTGAGATTATGCCGTGATTAGACGAAGAAAAGCAGGCCTACTATCATCCTCCAGTACCATCACGAGGCAACCCTGTTACAGACAACTGGGAACACGGCCGGCCTACGAATTTCCCGATCTACGCAACACAGTGAACTCCGCAACAATAAACCCAACATATCCAATCCACATAATACCACCCACCACCCGCTGAACACTCCCACTCAACCACATCGACCCCGTAAATAGTGCAGTACTACCCCATAGAACAGCCAACTCAGCGCCCGATACGCTCCCCGCGCTCCCCAACGCCCCTTCTGTGCCAACCATGACAATACCCAGGCAAAGCGTCAGCAAGAAGACGTTGCTGCCCACCGTATTAGCAACCAAAATGCCGCTGTGCCCGCGCTGGCCGCTGAGCACGGCGATGAACTTCTCCGGCAGGGTTGTGCCGATGGCGAGGACGACGATACCGAAGAGCACTTCGGAGGCACCGAGGGCGTCGGCAATGTTGGTCGCTGCGTGGGAGAGGATGTAGCCTGAGAGGCATATTGCGAGGAAGCCGGCGAAGAGGCAGGCGATGTGGTAAGTTAGCCCGCGGCGACGGCGTAGGAATCGATCCGAGGGACGTAGGAGGGGTTGTTGCTCGCCGTCGGTGTCATTAGTTTCTGGTGCAGGTTGCGATGCTTGAACGCGGCCGTTTCTCCGAGAAGAAATGGAAGAGTCTGAAGACCTGGATGAGGTGTCATCTTCATCACTGGAGCTATCGCTGTCTGAACCTTCCGGTGCTATCAGTGTTCCTCGGCTGATTGCCCATCCTATCGATAGTAGGTAGACCACAAATACAACAATCAAGACGATGCCGGTAACTCGCCAAAGGAGCATACGTGGCAAGTACGTGATAGGAATGACAGCAGTCGTCATACAGAACAACAGCAGCGAGTAGATGCGAGCGCTGCGGTCAAATTGCATCGATTCCCCTTGCTTGCGAAAAAGGAGGCCCAGCGAAAAGGCACCGAGGATGTTGGAGATGGCTGAACCGACAATGTTGCCGAGTGCAAGCGATGCGCGGCCTTGCGCCAGCGCGCTGACGACCACGGCGAGCTGGAGATGACTTGTTAGTCCGAATTGTTCTCGACGAAGACGATGTGGTACGAGATATGAAGAGATATAGGATGGGGCCAGACTCACTTCTTCCCACTCGGCGCCGGCCGTGATTAGGGCGATGAGGGTGTCCGGGATACCGGTGCGCCGAGCGACGATGGCTGTATGATCCACGAACTTGTCGGCGCCGGCCTCGAGGAGGAAGAGGGTACTGATGAAGACAGCCGCATTGTAGGTCACCGCGCTACTAACAGTCATCTTGAGAGAGCCGTGGGGTTATGGAAACGAATATTGAGTCTCAACCAAGCCGTGCTTCAACACGGGTGGTGAAGTCGTGAAATAAGAGGAATTAAACGTCTCCGCCGAAGATGGGATGACGGGCGGGACTGACTCGTCGGAAACCGTAGATCCACCCACCGTGGGGTATGGAGGTCCTCGGCATTAATGAAGATCGAGCCGACAGAATTTCAATTGTCTGCGCCAATCAGTATTATTTGTGCATCGGGATGTCTGACATACGAAAATGCCAAAATAGCCCGCGTGATGTTGTCAAAGTCCCTTGAATCATTTATCAGGCTGACTATGATTATACGGAAGTATGAGCTAGGCTCAGCATGTCGAAGGAAAGTACCTTGTGCTGAGCGAAGAGCGAGGCTAATGAAGCTGTTGAGAGATCAGAGATTGGATCGATAGTTGTATATTTCTACCTCTGATGGTTTGATACTACGGTGTGTTACCTAGGAATAGGGGCCGGCTCAATTCGTCTAGGCCGAGAATGAATACTGTAAGTCATATTGTCAGAAATTAACATGGGTTAATGAAGAGTAATGAAAATAAAACACTGAAGCCTGGTCGTTGTAATATCAAATTTAGTCTCCATGAGCTTTACGCGGATATACAGGTTGCGATCTTTCGACTTCGGATAGTTGAAGGCCTCGTTTCAATGGTTGGGCATAAGATCCACGAAGAGAGTGAGCAGAATTTCGATCAACTGAACACATCGGAAAGTCAATCGACTCCCGTCTGAGATCGGCAAGATAACGGATCTTCGCGCTGAAATTTCCAATGTTATGTGGATACAGGCCGAGAGGCCGGGCCATCTCGTGTCTCATGCACAGCACATGAACTCAACGAAGGGCAGAAAAAGCTGCTGTCAATTTGCTAGCCTCTGATAACCGACACTGGCATTTCAAGATCTCGGAATAGTATCTCTACTCACGTCAACCGAAGGCACTTTATTGAAATTAAAACATCAGAGAAAAAAGGAAATTTGAGTTTAAGAACCCAACGAAGCCCATACTTGGCACGCATTGCACTCATGATAGAATAAGAGGGTCCAGCATGTCACAACAAATCAACGCCAATCGTTACATTTCAAAGTTTGGAAAGAACAACTCAGACTCATAGCATTGAAAAGATAAATCAGAAATAGCTAGCTAAAAACAAAATGATCCCAAATTCGCAACAATGGTTGACCAAAGAACACATTCATAAAAATCGTAACGTAGCACCCACAAAGCTGTTGTGCCATTTGTGTAATGCCCATCTATTTGAGAGCCTCGCGGACCTTGCTCTCGAAGCTGCCATCCTTGAAGGGAACGTTGGCCTTTCCGAAGTTGGTGTCCTGAAGAGCGGTCTTGGCGGCGGCGGGGAGAGCATCCCAGTCGGAGATGGGGTAGGTCTTGCCCTTGGTCTGAGTGAACTGGAGCTCGTGGTTTGTCGGGAAGGTAGTGAAGTATTCAACCTTGGGGCTGTTGCCGTCCATGGGAGGAGCACCGTTGGCCTTGCTGTAGCCGCTGTGGCTGGAGGCAGCTCCGCCGATGATCTTGGGGGTAGCCGCGGCCGGGTCGTCGATCTGAACGACGATATTCTCCCAGTCGTGGCGGTGACCTCCGGCGACGTCACCGCCGGTGGGGTGGTCCTTGGGAAAGTACCAAGAGTACATGATGACCGTCTTGCCGTCGACTGTGCCGGCGCGAGCATACGTTTGACCCTTAGACTGATCGCGGCAGCCGCCGGTGGAGCTGCCAGTATCCTGAAGACCACCGCTGGTATCACCGTTGTCGGCAACGGCGGGATACGGCTGGCAACCGTGGGCGATGTGGAGAAGGGGGTTGAAGGTCTCGATCACCTTGCCGAGGCCGCCAGTCTGGATTCTCTGGGCGACGGGGCTGATGGAGTCGTGAGCCACAACGGCGCGGGACTGAAGGAGCTCAGTAGGCGCGGCGGCAACGGCGGCAGCGAGGGCCAGGATGTTGGAGACCTTGAAAGAAACCATTGTGAAAGTTGGGAATCAAATGAATGAAAAGTGAATGTGGGTGTGCTGTAAAGCGAACGAAAGTTGAGTCTGAGTGAATGGAAGGAAAGTGATGCGATGGGTGAAGAAGAAAAGATAGCTTTGGAAAGGGACGAGGGCTTGCTCTTTATACTTGAATATCTGATGATGATGATGATGATGATGATGATGCTTTGCTTGTATGATGTCTTGATTACTGTCTTGAAGATCACCACAGCATCTGCCAAGCAGTTGTGCATTTATAATCCTCGTCTCACGTTGAAAATAGCAATTAAACAAACTTCTAGACGTCTCTAGTTGGCCTGATCATGTTGAGGGCCGTGAGTGGCATCAAGGCCAACCAGTCGCCAGACCACAATGTTTAACCAAGCCTTCCAAGATTGAGGCCTGTCTGATCTTGACGTTCAAGACTCCATATTGGGGGCAGTGATTATTCAGGGGAAAAGTATGAAAGTCTTATTGAAGGCCCTCTAAGGCAACGAAGACAAGGTCGTCAGTCTTACCGGACTCTCGGCGCGGGTTTCGATTGCTCGTGACGTCCGAACACCCTTCGGTTAGGTGGCTCCATGAACCTCATATTGATTGATCCAAGACTATCTTAAGGTCATTTTGGGCTGGTGCGGCTCGGCGGACGGTCATTCTGAACAAGGCCGATGATACTACCTACCCAATGCTGCTTTGTAAAGCTGAACCATATTACCTGGCCCTGCAGTAAAGAGCTGAACATGTCAAGGCCAGTCACTCAATGCATTGTTTCTTGGCACTTGGCCCCTCTGTGTATGTTACGTCCCCCACACGCACCCAGCCCTACTGAATACCTTAAATGGCTCGAGAGCCCCATGTTTAGACTGTGTATCCATGTCAGACCGGGTGACCTTAACAGACGACATATATGAGAGATGATGTGCTATGCTGTAAAGTGGCTTTAAAACATGCTATTTTGGGTCACGAGCCATGTGGAACTCAGAGAAAAAAGTGGTGGCGGCCTTGTCGTCTTCTTCAACAAATCGACATATTCTACGGATAGCATATGCGAATGATCATGTTGCTCTGAGATGATTTGCCTTAAGATATTTTTGTCATACTGGAAAGGCCTTTGCTACTTACAGTCAAATCATCAAATCATAGGCGCTGGAGAAAGTCTGTCCATCTTCTGAGGTTTCCCATCAAAGGCCACCCGAAACAATTTATTGGTTGTTTCTGTCGGAGTTTGCGGGCTTGGACTGAAACAGCGTGCTTCCTCGCTTACACCCAAAACTGCTGACAGGCTGCTAAAGAAAGTATGCTCACTGACTCGAGCAGCCATTCTAGACCGCTGTCCACCTCCCAAATAGGCTCATTCGGGGAATAGGCCGCCGGCGAATCACGGAATTTATTGGTGACCAAGCTTAACCCAGCCCCCCAACCTTCTGACAGGGGGCCTTGGCGGCGCTGTATTTGCGACTTGATGCTTCATGGATTAGGCGCGCCTTTCATGCGTTGATGGAAAAAACCAATGAAACCTCCCCAAAGGCCAGCATCGGTATTTCGATTGGTCATGGCTTTTGAAGCTCCCCACAACACCATCTCGGCCGGTTCACGGAGTCCGGGGGACGGGACTGTCCGCAGCGCCGCCGACTAATCGTAAAATCAGAGGCCGACCTCTCGGAGACAGGCCGACTGCCAAGATCACTTCAGCCTTAAGGTTTTCCCAGGCTGCAGGAACAGGCTTAGTCGAGTGCCATCATGAAACTCGGCGTCTCCTATGGCCTCTTGGACTGGGTGTCCAAATTCTTGGAACAGGATTGATGTTTCTTTGGAATGCCCACCGTTGTGCTCTGTTCTGCAATGTGAGCAATTCATTTCTTTGAGCACTGAGTTCTCCCTCTCGCCGTTGGAATCTGTAAAGTCGGGGTTGGTGCTAATCCAAAGATCTCTAGAGGGGCGTGGTAGACTTTCACTTGAGGGGTAGCAATGTGACCACTGCAGACACAATTAACACGCTACCCCGAAATACAGGAGGGGCCTTGACCACCCTACACATGTCTCAAAGGTGGGAAGATGAGAGCTTGGCACCTACACTTGGTCTTGAAGCCTTTTACTCGAACGAGTGGCGACAATGCCTCAAGCAGAGCCCCTCCATGCTTGACGATGACGTATCACGGTGATTTCTTCTATTCTGGTGTACTAACGACATAAGTGCCCTAGGCAAGGTGCACAAATTTCCATTTGACGAAGACGATAAACAGCGACGAGAGCCTAGTTTATTTCGAAAATGCTATCCTCCAGCCAATCTATCTCAAGATCGCAATTCCTGGAGCACGTTGAATGAAAAGCTCCTGTACTCGCGTGTGAATGGATGAGTAAACTAAACCCCCCTGTCGGTGAGGCATCGCCGGGGCCAAAAACCATGGGAGAATGCGACGAATCCATGTTGAGAAGGAGAGAAGATCTTATGTACACGTTAGGGCAAATACATATATCGGCCAGCTAGTTGACTCGAATGTTTCTGACAAAATGTGCAGCCATATGTTGTTCATTCATAAAAAGGGCATCCCTTTTCGCGGGCCATTCTATGTCTAACCTTCGACCAGTTCTGCAATGCCAATACAAACCAGAGAACCTGGACAACAATATTCGCATACCATGAGACCAAAGCTTGAGTTCTTTCTTACGAGTAGAGTATCAGATCAACTCCACTGAGCATTCTTGTTAGACTTAGACCTTTTTGTATATTGAAGAAGCAAGACGAAAAAGACTATTTTAAGCTTTTGACGGGAAGACTTCAGACCGTGCACCTATCCTCATGGCTGGTTTGGTAGGGACCTATTTGTATCTCTGCGAGCTCAACGGAGTATACTATAGGGGCGCTGCTCTAATTCCAGTCCTTAATTCGAAACTCGTGTGGACAAACATGGCAAGGAGCCAACTTTCAGTCACATGTCCGTATTAGCATCCATCCATGTATATAATGTCGCAGTGCGACATTAAGAGTCAGGGGCCAAAGGAAATTCTTATAAGAGACTAAGTAGTCACTCAGACTGTAGGTTGTTTAGGTGCCAAGCCTCAGTGGGTAATAGCACCAAAGATGGATGATAGGGTTCTCTGGTTTGTCCAGACCAAGTAAGTTGTTCGCAGCAGTGGTATGTGTCAAATTACTAATTTAGTACGCTGTTCCATGAACAAAATCTCCTTTAAAGGGAGGGAAGAATTCTCTTCTCAGTGAACTGCCAAAGCAGGGGAGAGTAGTCAGAGCACCAAGCGTTGCCGGTGTAGTATGTGTTTCTCTTGCCCTGAAGAGCGTACAAGTCGCGGTAGAAACCGGCCTTGACAGCCTCTGTAGAAACATGAAGCTGGAGGTTGGAGTGCTCCTCCCAAGCGGCAAACTCGCCGCCAGTCGCCGAGGTGCTGTTGGAAGAGGCTCCGACCTTACGGACGGCATCGGTGACCAAGCCCTGGGCCTTGGTTGAGTCAGCCTCACCGATGACCTTGACGGTCTGGTAGCCAGGAACGCCGACGGTCTCCAGTCGCCAGACGAAGGGCTTGGAGGGGAGGGCATCAGGGGCGGTGATGTCGACGTTAAGGAAGTTGGTCAGGTCAGGAAGACCGGAGTCAGAGACGACACCAACGTAGTAGGGGACGTTCTCCCACTGGTTGAAGACGGAAGTCTCAGAGTCGTCGAGGTCGAAGGGCGCGAGGTTCTGGACGGTAGGAGGGATGGTGATAAGGAGCTTCTTGGCCTTGATGAGCTTGCGGCCCGTGGAGGTGGCAACGACGGCCTTGACGCCATCATCAGAGCGCTTGGAGGCAACGACAGTGCTGGAGTACAGGACATCGTTTCCGAGGAAAGCGCCGGCCTTGTCGTACACCTGCTGGTTGCCACCAGGGGCGTACAGGTAGCCGCTAGACAGACCGAGCAGATGGGGCTGGCCGAAGTTCTGCAGGACATACAGGGTCGGGGTCTCGAGAAGGTTGCCGACACCGTGGGCGAAGATCCAGACGACTTGAACGACCTCGGTCAGGTTGTACTTCTGGACGAATTGGCCAAAGGGCAGAAGAAGATCCTCAGGGACGTTCTCGGGGATATCGTAGGCGCCTTCAGCCAAGAAGTCAAAGTTGAGAGTGGCGAAAAGGTAGTTCGCCAGGGGCCCGACGAGGGTATTAGGGTCGACGGCCGTGGCGTTGGGGACGACGAAGCCGGTCTTGAAGTCGACAATCTTGCTCGGGAAAGGAGACAGAGCGGAGGCGTTCAGCTGGACGTTGAAGCGCTCGAAGAACTGTGTTGTCTGGTCATTCTGGATGAATGCCTGCACGCCGTAATCGATAGGTGCGCCGGTCGCGGGGTCGCGGAAGGTGTTAACGTGGCCTCCAAGCTTGTCGGCGCGCTCTACGACGGCGACGGTCTTGTTCTGGTCCCGAAGACGGACGGCGGCGTAGGTTCCGGTAGCTCCACCACCGACAACGAGAACGTCGCGTTGGATGATGTCCTCGGGCTTGAAGGCGGACTCATCATAACAGCCGAGGCCGGAGGGAGCAGCACTAATTAATGTGGCGCTGAAAGCGCACAGCGACAAAAGGTGAGAACGCATTGCTAAGAGAAGATGTGGAAAAAGAATGACTAGGTGATCAAAGGAGTGACTTGAGATGTGCTTCTTTCCAAGAGCGGTTTATTAAGGCGTGGCGACTATAGAAGCTAAATATCCGTACATGCCGTATTCCAAGGCAAAAGGTGCCGACTGAGCCCGGCGGTCCGGTAAAGTTGGGAGCCAAGGCCAATCACCAAGGAGAGTTTGACTCAAAGAGGTAATGAAGTCAAATTGATTAAAGAGCACGAACTCTGAATGACGGGCTCCACATCAACAGACGAACATCTTCTGGGTCTCAGGCCGGGCCCGGACTCTGTAGGGGCATTTGTTAACTACAATCCTGTCTCTACCGACTTGATCGTCTTTCTCATATCGTTTGCCCTGGTCGAGAAACAGACTGTGTGATGGTGCTGTTGCAGCATGTTGGCCATGCTTGTGTGCTTCGAAAGGCACTGCATCCCGGACCGTCCGGTGGATTACAACCTTATTGAGCAAGGATTAGGTCAGGATGCTCTCTCTTAGAGTTCAACGCTTTGATTGACCAGGGCTGAGTGACAGCTAGAGAAAGAAATGCCAATTTACTAGTTCGCGACCAAGGTGGGCTGAGTAAAATGAGCCTGAACTCACTGTAAAAACCTTTGCATGCGCCCGCTATTTTCGCCGGCCTCGCAAGCGCAATTCTCCGTCCGAGACAAGCTTTCACATCGTCACGTCAACTCATTATTGTGATTAATCACAAGAAGTCGTTTCGAACTTCTGATCAAGGCGCTCGCTCTCGCATTGAATGCGCCATATATTTTGCTGAGCAGTTGATTTTTGAATCTCTATACGCTGCCTTCAAAGCTTTGCCATCCACCGCCGGTTCAAGACTCTTTCGCAGGGCGATGAATTGCATTTTGCTGCTGTTGATCCACTACCACAGCGGATTTCGTCACTCACTTAGCCGTGAGCCATGAAGCAAAAGGCACCGACGCTGCATAGTGATCATACGCAATTTGTACCATCCATGGCAACAGCGCCAACAATGAACAAGGTTCCAATGGAATGCCGACACTGACTCGGTGGGATTTCCCGGTGGCCAAGGCCCCCGTGATTTTCAGACCCCAAATCCACTATTGAAGGATGATTTGACTCACAACCGTTGTGTTTACGCCCCGCCTCCCGCCTCGGGTTTTGACGACGCAATGGGGTAAGTGACTTGAGTACAAATTGTAAGAAATACATCGTCCAGAGGGACAGAACCCAAAGTCGCTTTTCAGGAAAGATTGTCTCGCCAAGAACTTGACAAGATAATCAGAAATCCAAGTTCAGTAAAGAAGCAATTACGGAGCAGACGGGTCACGGATAGCATGGAAGTGATTCGTGCTAAAGGTGATCAAGTCTTGCTAGAAAAAGTTTATTGTAACTTTCGTTTGTACAGAGACGACCTCTCCTGGGTCTACTCTAGCGCTGCTGGCCAATTACTGTTCGGAACGCTACTGCAATCATCTCCAGTCCGCCTCTTCACAGCTTGGGCATTAGTTATTGCTCATCTCGCGATTTCAAGCATATTTCCCTCACGTTAGATCAAATAGGAGTGACCAACAGCCGCTTATACAACCTCTTCATTCGCAATAGGAATGAATCGCAAGAGACACCGTTGTCCGTATGGCCGGGCAGAAATGATCTGGTCGTGAGATCGCATACTCTCGGGAGTGATGGAAGGATCTGGTACAGTGGAGTATCGTCCGTATATGCCACGGAGCAAAATCCTCATCTCTGCCAATGCAAGGCTGTTTCGGTATTAGCATAAGCTCGCGCCCATAGTCCGTGGGAAGGTAGTGTAGGCCCTTACTGTTTTCCGACACAGCCTCTTCCACCATGAGCAAAAGCAAACATGTGTCTCTTCCTCTCGGCTTCTCCGGTGGGGGATAGCCAGCGTTCAGGGCTGAAGGTGTCAGGGTTGGGGAAGACTGCATCGTTGTTGCGGTGAACCGAGTAGGCCTGGCTGCTCACGATGGTACCCTCGGAAATAAAGTAGCCATCGACGGTCTTCCCTCCCGGTGGGACCACGCGAGGTAGGGACATTGGGATCGCAGGATAGCATCGGAGGCCTTCTTGAATCACGGCGTCAAGGTAAGAAAGCTTGTCAAAAGAGGCGTCTGGATTCTCTCGAATCTCCTCCCGGAGTTTCCGTTGAATCTCAAGAGATGCAGGCTGTGACAGTTCCCACAACAAGAAACACAGCGAATCACCGGTTGTATCAATGCCAGCTACCATGTGATCCGTACATTCCGCGGCGATGTCAATGGCGTCCATCTGGTTGACGCTGCTGCCGCTTTCCCTCTTGTCTTGAAGACGGCTTAACAGGGTGAACGGCGCGGGATCAATTTTGGAAGTAGCACCAACAACGAAGTCCTTAGCAAGAGGCGTGGTTCGTGGATCGAAGAACAGGTCAAGAATCTTAGAGAAGTACTGGTAAAAGACGGGATAGTGATGCTGGATAAGGCGGTCTGATTGGTAAGTTGAGAGTTAGCAAGCATCCACTGCACATCAACTCGGGCGACCTCACTTCGTAGACTATCGTCCGTCGTGACTTGCTCCATCATGTCCGTGTCTTCCTGTTTCTGGAGACTATTGGTTCCGTAAGGATGGAACAAGTGATGGGTCACGCAGTCACAAGCGTAAGAGTGAAGCTTGACCTGGTGATCAGGGACAATAGTGTCAGTTTTGTTGATACAGGACTCACCGCCACTTCTTCGTGCTTGGACTTACATAGACATTCACACTTCTACTTGCTGCGTCTGCACACTGCCTAACAAACTCTTCCGCACGCTTCTCAATACCGCTCAGCGCTATGGGCTTCACCACATTGCTATTAGCATAGCGATCGGCAATGATACGCTTGCGCTTCGCGTGCTAAGTAAAAGTCAGATTTTCTGTCTCAGGCAAGTCATTGAGCTAGGTAACTTACATCGCCTTTCACAAGGGTTGAAAACATGGTTCTAAATCACGAGCACAGAACTCACGATCAGCACCATCACAAGATTTTCCATGTAATATCGGCCCTTACCTGCGCCCGAAAACCTTGAAGAGGTTGTAGAAACGATGCTTGTCATAACCACTTCCGAGTGATCCGTAAATCTCCTTGACAGCCTCATAAGACGTATATGAAACTTCGTTGGGAGCGATCCGCACGACCGGGCCATACTTCAAGTGCAAAGAGTGAATGTACAGCGTTCGATTGGCGCCGAACTCGTGCCATCTCAGGGCAATTGAGGTGACTTTAGACAGGGCTGGCCCGGGGATTTTCCACAATGGGGATGAATAGCAGCGTGCCAGGTAGAACACCAACAGGGCTCCAAGGATAGCCGCCCCAGAGAGCGGATTCAATAACATGATGCAAGTTGTCGTTGCTGGTAACACTGCCTTGCTGTGAAATGTGAAGTGTCAATCACGCCAATTTGTAAGAGTTGGGAATGATGCTGAACATAAATACCCCGTAATAATACTACAGCTTTGCCGCGGGGTCGGCTGGGGAAGAACGGTAAAATCGGGGCAGATAAGGACAGAACAAGACGAATCAAATCCCCTCCAAATCAAACGAGACCTTTGTTGTTGAGTCATGGGTGGTTTACCCCGCCTATTTAGTTCAATTCCGTTCCCCTAATGTTAAGAATTGGCGAATTCCGGATAGGCGGTCTTGTTTTGTGGATATGAAAACAACGCCTGCTCCGGGCTCGGCCCCGCATTCTGATCGCTAATGTTAAGAAGACCCGAAGATACGGATCAGCCGAGAACCCCGGCCACAAGACCAACCCCCGAGTCAACCCATATTTCCCCTAATGTTAGGCGCAGCCGTAATTCCGTGATTCACATTCCATTATCCATGAATTTTGCACCTCCGATCAGCCTGTCTGTGGTGACAACCAGCGAAGTACTTTCTTCCTACACTAGTCCACTTCGAGGCATAGCGAAGCACGCCGTGCAGCAATGCTTCTTCAACTGTGGCCTTCTCAAGGCGATCCTTATCGTAGTGCTACCTGCATCTAGTGTATAGCCGAGATCTCAGACTTGAGGTTTTGGGTAAGCTGCTTGGATCTCCGTCTCTCGGTTGATGCCAAAGTGTTTCCAGTATCGGTAGTCCTTGATAGACACGACCGATGTCTGGAAGGCAAGAACACTGGTGCGAATATGTCAGCGTGTTGATTTCAAACAAAGACGAACCGGCTTTTGGGTAGAGGCAAAGAAACCTACATCAAAACCATGACGATGAGTGTCACAATCCAGCTGAGAGCACAGCTACCACCCGTGCAGAACCTTCCATTCGCCTGGCACAACAGACCAAAGGCGACGAACCAGAACACAATCTCCATTGTATTGAGGATAGCGTTGGCTTTGAGCGAAGCCCACTTCTTGAAGCGCTCCTTGTGAGTCGTCAGAAGTTGGTAGCCGATGATGATGAGAGACTTGAAGCCCTGTTTTCGCCTGATGTCAGTCTCAATCCTCGGCAATAATGATTACCAAAAGGAACGTTGCAAAGTTTTCCCCGCCGCGAAGAACTCACCATTGTAAGGGCCATGATGTTGCCGCGAGTGAAAGGGACCGGCATGAGTGAAAGGGACCGGCATGGCCATGCGCCAGATGGTGAGGATGATGGCCAGTGCCATCAGGGCGACTTGCGCGATGTGGATTTTGGTCTTGTATCTGGTATCGAAAAATCGACCGTCAAAGAAGTCGCGGATGCCCATGGTGACGAGGATCGTTTTCCTTGCGTTTACTGAGTAAGATGTTCGTGCTGATTCGGCGGGTTTGACGGGCGGTGGTTCGGATTTCAGTCTGATTGTAAAATATCGATGAGCGCGTTTCTAGGTCTGATGAGGCGGTGAAGTTGAGAATTTGTAGAAGATTTGAAAATGAACAATTATTCATGCATATTCTTCGACTTTTGTTTACATGTATTCGTTATGGCTCGGCAACTGCTTTTTGACATATACGCGGAGTTTAGTGAGGACGTATACGCGTATAAGGTTCGAACGCCAATTGCATCGCCACAATAACTCGAGACAATGGCTGAGGAACTCCACACCCCAGATTCTGTATCGAGTATTACAGGTGAGATTAGAGCCGACTAGCTAAAGGGCGATTACCCGTAACACCCATAATTGAAGTTGCCGCGTGGCATGCATGACCCGATTGCTTGGCTCGAGGCTCTAAGAAGTCGCATAGATTCCAGATTGCTGACCAAGGGTTTAAAGGGTCCCTCGACGCTACGTATGCTGCGGCGTAGAGACCGTAAGGCATCAATTGTACGCGTTTATCATAGATCTTGACTTGGGGCAGTGCTTGGGTTGGCGCGCTCTTGACTGATTGCCAGTCATTCGCTCGTATAGATGGGATTCGAAACCACCGCACACATTGCCTTTACAACGGTTGATGATTGGCGCGACGGAGCTGACAAAGGCGCTCTCTGCGTTGCTGCTTGAATTGATGATCGCTTGTGTGGTAGAAGCCGTCTTTGGAGAAGATCTCTGAATAGACTGATTCGCCGAACAACAATGTTATTCACACAACTTACTAGATAGACTTCGCTCACGGCTTGCTCCCTGAGTTCCTGACTGGATCCCTCAATCAAGGAACATTCTTCTTGGTTCGTTGAAGGTATTGGGCGTTACAAACAGCTCTTCTACCCACTTACTTCTACTTCGGTGAAAGCAATAGGCTTCGCCTCTCTCTCCCTTTCGTGCACATCGGCAGTTTAACACCAGAGTATTGAGCTTCGCACCGGTGCAATGCTCGGCCTACTGACGTGTAAACCGACACTTGTAGAGTGAGGAAAACCTTGCTTCGAATGATGCATCTTATTGGCAGGAGCGCAGTATGCAGCCCATTGATGCCAGGCTGCCAGCTTCAGAAGCTGAGTAGATTTGATCTCCAAGTTGCCTGCCGGATTTGAGAAGTCCACGTGAATTATCGCCAACATATATGAACTCGGCTGTCATATAAATTCATATTACAGTCTCCTGGGTTGCTTGACAAAGTCTTGCTTTACTCTCACCTCAGGGAACATGAATAATGCAACCCCCTGTTGCTGGCAAGAGAGTGAGACGTGGTCCAGTGTCCGCGTAGTTTGCGAGTTGGTACTACTAGTTGTTAATGTCTAATGCATGTGTATTAAACATCCAAAAACTGGGCCGTATCTGTTCGTACGCATTACAGTTGACACTGATAGTGACGGATAGGTAGTGTCACTGCCTCCTTCACAACGGAAACGATGTTGCTGGGACAGACGAACGCGAGTGGTCAAGTCAAAGCCTAAGATCCTTTCTTCCAAGAACAAAGCACGAATCAGGATCTCAACAGTCTCTCCATCAGATCAAGTCTACTCAGAAGATCATGGACGCATCGCGATCTTATTGTACGTTGCAGGGCGTTAAGACGGCCTCCGTGGAAAGCCGGCGCCGGCACCGGCGCCGTCGTGCCATTTTGCCGTCGCTCAGAGCATGAAAGTATACCGGAAGACCCGGGATGCTATCAGTGTACGAAGCGTTCGGTCTGCTATCGTAAAAGCTTAAATCTCATGACTCTTTCCCGAGAGATTCGCAGAGGGCAAAGCTCGCCGCGAAATGGGCCGGTAATTACCAGCACCCATATATTAACAGCAGACTTTTGACAACACAGGTGAACCTTGTCCAGCCGGCATCCCTGTAGTACACGTCCAACACACCCGCCCGAACGCGTTATTAAAAAAAAAAAGTTGATAATGCTAATCGCAAGATATAATTGCGCACTTCAATCGGCCCATGGCCGACTTCGCACATGTTATCATCATGGCGAACCCTGAGCGGCGGAGAATGTTGAAGTAGACGCTTTGTCTGCAAAACAAGTCAGACTCGACAAACACCCTCCAGAACATGGCTTCGCTGCCTCTCGAGCTCGTGGAGCAAATCTGCTCATTACTCTGCCTCCACTGTCGACACCCAGGGACTTTTCCCGACGCCGAAAGCGACGACTATCGACTCAGCAAAAGGGCACTATCACGACTTTGTCGCGTTTCCAGAGGATTTTGCGCTGTTGCTCAGCCGTTCCTTTTCCACGACTACGCCACGGGTGGGTTACTTCAACGGCATGATTGCGGTATCGGAGCACAACCTAGCAAGCCCTCGCAAGACGACGAATACGACGACAAGCTGCCCGTCTTCCTGCGCAGCATCATACGGCGTCCGGATCTGGCATCTCACATCAGAACGCTACAACTGGTAGAGAACGACGTGATCAGAGGGTGCACGCCAGAACTAGCTCCTCTGCTCATCAAAGCGACCGAAGATGCTGGCGCGCTACGGCACGCTCCGAGCAGAAGCTATCTCCAAACGAAGATATGGAGTGGGTTCTCAGGTCAGCCAGAAGCTTTGTTGCGAATCCAGCGGCGGAAGATTCATCACTGGCTCGGGGAGTTGGCGATTCTGCTATCGCCGAACCTCACTATGCTTCTCACAGCCCGGGATAGCTTTGTGGACTATGAGCATATCAGAGACAGTCGGGCTTCCTTCCCTGCACTCCGAACAATTGCTCTCATGGGCGTCAGGAAGAATCATCACATTTACGAGGCCTCTGCGCTCTTCGCTGCGGCGCCAAACCTTGAGAACCTGCATTCAATGCAGTGCAGTCTCTTCGACGGTCAAAGTCCTTGGACTCTCGTGAAGCCTTGGACGCTGAAGTTGGGGAATCTTCGGAGATTGTCGCTGAGCGAGATAGGCTTTGAAGATCTCAATCTGCTGGTGAAGTGCTGCCCGAATTTGGAGGAGCTGGCAGTCACAGCAAAAGAAATCTACCGCAACTCGGGATTCGACTATTGGGATATGTCAAAATTGCTCCAGGCATTTGACCCGGTTCGCCATACCCTACGGAAACTGCGTCTTTCTCACGATTCTAGTCGGTCGCCCAGGGCAGACTCCCGGCAAATTGCGTCCGGCGGAATAGCTTGGTCTTTCCGCTCCTTTGAGCATCTAGAGGAGCTTGCACTTGATCAAGCGTCAATCGACAATAACCCGAGAGCACATCGCTTGGAAGATGGAGTGGACCTATACACCGAATGGAGCTGCGCCGAAGTCTTGCCAGCGTCCATTCGTCAGGTTGAGATCTTGCATGCCGGCCATGATTGCAAGGAAAAGCTCCGGCGGCTTGCCGAAGAATCTTTGTTCACGTTACCCAATCTAAAGGTTATTCAGGTCAACTATGACAAGGTTATAGAGGAAAGCGATCTTGATATGCATTGCGTAGACACTATGAATGCCCGATCCCAGTCGCGAGGCATCGAAATGATATGGAATACAGGGTGTACCAAGGAGGAAGTAACGGCTTGACCTTAGTTGCTGTCGGTCTACCTCGAACCAGGGTCGATTCATGGATCAGGACCATAATTGCATGAGAAAATGACTGTAGAGTCTTAGAATAGATAGACTAATAGATAGAAACGGCAGCATGGCATAGCATTGTCAGCCCGCATATAGAGTTGATGAAGAAGCCATGGGCCCCTCATGCCGGGCATGTAGAAATAAACATCGAAGACAAAGCTGTTCATTACAACTCTGCCAGAACGCATTGGATAGACGAGGTGTGTTCCGACGGGCTTCGACGAAGATATGCCGACTGTCGAGGGTAAGACAGGCAAGTGACCACGATACGCCCATCTTATAGGAAGCATGGATAGCAAGCGAGGTCGGTAATACCCTAAACGATATTCAAGCTCCGAAGCGGTTGAACAGTCCTGGGACCGTGGCCCAAAACCTCGATCTCGGTATGTAGCTGGCACAAACGTTAGCGGGCCGGATACGCAAATCAAAGACATGGACTGAGATGAAGCAAACGCTTCAAGCGACGAGAGATAACATCGATGTCCGCGTATGCGCTGCAAGTGATGCTTGTCAAACCTCGCCGTGCAAACCGCATCCAGCGGATACAACAGACGACCGAGTGTTCCACACGCACATTCAAGTGCGACCGCCATTGCCTCATCGGATCATTTGTTTGCTCGTCAGTCAAGGACAACGGCGGGCATGCCGGCAGCCGGGGTTGACATCGCTGTCGATACTGATGTCCCTCAGTGGTTTTTCGCCAAATGCCCGCAATGAGCCGAGTTCTGGAACAGTCTCGTCGCCGAATACATTGCTCGATCATGTCTCAGATCAGCCGCAATAAGTGGACGGAGGATGCATATGGCGGTGGTTTTGACAGGTGCGCCTGCAAAGGAACGCAGCGACAGCAGCCACTTGTTTCGAAACGCCTCTGGCTGAACCCTCGCATGGTGTCAACGGCTTTGTGGACAGGGGGACGGGTTGAGCTAGAGCTGAATAGGGGCGATAGAGCGAAAGACCGGCTTCGAAGGTAGAGATGTAGACGACCTAGAATTTGTTGAAAACTTTGTGGCGGCGCCAATGGTGTCTTCGACTCCCGAGACATTCCTAGTTCTGGTACTGGGGTAGTGCCGGCCGCCGCCGATAGCGTCTTGGAGTAAAGGCAACGTTGATTTGATGGTAAAGATGTCCCGAGGCCGAGTCGGTCCACGACAGAGGGCTTGTCGATGTTGATGGCATGAAGCTGGTGCAGTGAGACGGCGTAGAGACTCGTGGCAGAGCGCGAGAACCGGGAAAGCGGTTACATGTTGGAATTACGACGCAAACATTCGAGGTATGTGCCTCGATCGAGGTGTTGTGTCTCGCGGACTTCTGGGAAAACGGCATAGAGTAAATGT